TTTTTTTTTTTTTTTTTTTTTTTTTTCTTTCTGTTTCAGGTGCTGCTGCTGCTGCTGGATCATCGCTTGTTCCCGCAACCGAAGGTAAGACTTCAACAAGGGTATCTTCCTCTCTTTCTCTCTCCTTCAGTGGAGAAATGTATGTTTGAAATTACTGAGGGGGCACTACTTCCGTCTGCAACTGTACTAATGAAAAACGCCGTGACCAATGGGGCTGCATCGGCATAGGTAAGTTAGTTCCGTTTTTTTCTCTTTCTGTGGATTAGGGCTGATGGCGATACCACATTAAAAAAAGGCGCTAAAAGCTCTACCGCTAGGAGCAGCGCCGTACATTTTACGTGATCAGTCTATCCTAAGGTGGTGTGGAAACGAGCTTGACAAAAGTGTAACTGCACTAAGGAAAAACGCTGTATGAACACTGAGAAGTTGCCAGACTTCTTCCAATAAAATAGATAAATATTGAATATTTTCTACGAACCCGAGACATATGAGAATGAGAAATACAGAGCTTCCCACTCTGTGAAACAGCCTCATTTTCTGGCGAGCCACATTTTCTACAGTGTATTCCGGTCTAAAAATTTCACACTGAACTATTTTGCGATGAACATGGGTACTTAAACTTAGAAATACGAGGACTGCGAGCCAAAAGAAACTGAGTTACAGCGAGATTCGAGATTCACTCACTTCACAAAAAACATCCAAAACAAATAAGTGAGGTTATATACGCATCTAATTGACGACTAAGCAACGGTCATCGGATGTCATCAAATGATGGTTGTTTAGCTAATCAGCTGATGAAGTCGGCTCCTCTCCAAATCAGCTGTTCGGGAAACTTATCACTAGCTTTACACTCCTCTTTTATCGTTTGTTAATTGAATATGTAGTTTTATGTTTAATTCTTCCTACATTCGTTTCAAAGTATGTTCCATGAATATCTTGGTGCTTAGGTTTAATATTGGTTCTGTACTTTTTACCTCAGTGATCGCGTTCTTGTGTTTACCTCACGTGTTTAGTGCAACTTATTACGTCTTTTTGTGGTTAGCTCGTAAATTTTCTCCTCTTGAAACAATTCTTTCATCGAAACTTTCTCCTGTGCAGAGGAGGAGAGAGGCGCCGTTGATTTCCATGCATTTGTGAAATTGTTCGTCTGAAAATGAGCTCGCACGTCAACAATCCAAATCCTTCATCCAGTGATAACGTACCCTATGTGCACGCTCCTAGAATTCGTAAAGATGTAAGCATGTGCTACTTAAAGTATTAATTAGAATTTAAGTTTTTTCGTGTACAAGTGTGTACTTTCACTCCTCTCAAGATTCTCTTATCTTGGGTTTTCCATTTTCCTGTTTTAAGGTTGAATCAAGGCCTCTACTCTCTCAACTTTCTTGATCACCGGCTCACAAATATTTTAGTTCCCTGTAGAGATTTAGAGAAAAGATGGTAATTATTTTTCATTCGTATATTATTGAATGATAGCTCAGGAGTTTTGTGGCTGTACTTATTAATGGAAGGAACTTATAAGATCGAAACAGAATGGATACTTATCGTGCAAATGTTGCAGTTTTTATGCAGCAGGATCCCTGCAGCCAATGCGTACCAGTCTTCGTGATAAGGATGTGAATAAGTATCCTCAAAACAACAAGTTGAGTTGTGCTATTAGTTTGCTGTACACAACTGACTTTAAAGTAGGATGAACTTGTGTGTTTGGATCTTTCCTAACAATTTTATCAGCTTGGGCAAAAATGTTGGATGTTCATCTCAGTTTTCGGAATTTTAAGTGCCAGTTTGTTTTCCTCTACAACACAGATCAATGATTTCAATGTCCCTAGTGAAGTTTTATTTGTATTTGTTGGGCTGTAATTAAAATTATTTTTCATTTCTAACGTCCAAGACAAGCTTCAGATGGCAAGTAAGTACCATGAAGGAGCCCTAGTTTAATTTGCAAAGCTCTATCGGACATTGGCTGTTTTTGCCAATTTTGATTCCCCTGTCACATGGAGACGTGTATTTTAGTTTTTTCTACCTTTTATTGGGCTTCCCAGATGGGTTTGCTTAGTAAATATTTAACTCTCATTCATGTATTTTTTACAGGAGAAAACAATCATTGAAAAGACTTCCTCGTGTGTTACTGCTATCTCAACCTTGCTCCAGTTACCGAATTCAGCTTCTCACCTCAAAAAGTCTTGCTCTCCAAACAAAAGTTTTACCAGCGTAGGGCCTGTTTGTAGAATCTGTCATGAAGGTCAGTGTTTTCTGTTGTTAGATCTTGCTGATCACTCAGTTTAAACATTTTTTCAAGGAAGCGTCTAAAAAAAACTTGTGGAGAAATCCAGGGTACACAATTTTTTCATTGCCACCTTGGTTTCTAACTGGACTACATTTTGCAATTAGGGACTATAATTTCTGGCTCAGTGTAAAAGCAATGTATGCACCATTAATTTCCCCACAGACATATGTGTTTTTACGGATGAACCAGAAATCGCAGTGCAGAATTGCAAAATGCAGCCCAGCTAATGAACCCTCAGACAAAGTATGAATTACCGAACTGTATTTTCTCCTCCAAATTTCAATAGGAAAAATATTCACACACAGGGAAGTCTAAAAAATAAACTCCTAATTAAGATAACTATAGGTGTTCATTATTAACATCGGTTAAATTAAAAAAATACATATGATGTCATTTATATAATCTAACCTTTCATTTGGACTACATTTTGCAATTGAAAACAATTTCCAGTACATCCATAAAAAAACACATATATCTATGGGGAAACTAATTGTTCTTACGTTTTTTTAAACAGAGTTATAAATTGTTGTCCTATTGCAAAATGTAGTCCATTTGGTCTTTGTTATAAATACTTATTCATATCAAGTTCATGAGTTGATCCCTAAATTTCCTTTTGTGTGAATCGTTTTCTATGCATGATCTTGAAGAGGAAATATGTAACATTTATTTCTAGTCCAGACTCTATCCAATGGCCCTTTCCAAGTTTTATTTGGTCATTTCCAAAAAAGCTGATTGACAGAAAGTCAATCTCAAATACCTCCTATAGGTACAGATACCTCTAATACCTCTCAATATACCTTCCTAGCTTAAGAATAGAGTAAAAAAAGAATGGCACAAAAAATTTAATCGATCAATATTAATAGTAGATTAATTTTCAATGATGCTCCTCAAGAACACCTGAGTAAGATGAGCTTTTAAAATCAATCTTGAGAAGATTGGACCTGAAAAGTGCGTTTTTTGGCTTTTTTACATGTATTTTAAGTGGGAAAACGTAGGTAATAAAGGAGTAAGCTCCTTTTTCCTCGTCTCAAGTCAGCCGGGAAGATGAGCCTGAGGCGCAGTATTCGGCCTACCAACTCAGTTCAAAACAGAAGGCACCACATCTTTGGTGCAGCAACAGCGCCACTTCTCTGTGTGATGAAACTTGTTAAACTGCTGGAAAAAGCACTTTTCAGACCCAATTTCCTTGAGATTGGCGCATAAAAAATTCGATTCTAAAACCTCATCCAACTCAGGATATTTTAAGAAACATTGTAACTGTAAACTCTATTTTGACTTAGTAATTGTACTCAACTGTAAACATTGGCTACTGTTAAAACAATGTTATTAATTCCTGAGGTTATTATAACTGATTTAAATCGAATCATTAAATAGACTCCTGCTGTAACTAATGTTGAAGAATGAACAAGGGCTGATATAATATATAATATTGTAGTCCTTTCAACCAAAAATGATTTATGTGCTGTACTAAATTCTAGATATTTTTTCAAAGCCTGATGCATATAGTCCTTCTCAACTGAAAGACAGGCTGAACTCTTGTAATATCATAAGAACAACAAGTTTTGTCTGCTTACTTTTCACATAACTTTCCAACCTCCTCCCTTCTTAAAGCACCAGCTTAAACGACACAATTGGTTCCTTTTTTTTACAGATGATTCTTCTGAAAAACTGATTTCTCCATGTGAATGCATCGGTTCAATGGGCGTTGTGCATACATCATGCCTTGAAAAATGGTTATCAACATCAAATTCAGATAATTGTGAGATTTGCAAGTACAACTTCAGAACAAAACGTAGAGCAAGACCTATTTTCCAGGTATGGCACGTTTGCATTGCATATGCTTATTCGTGGGTATGTGAGAAAATTCGTCTCCCGCACAAAGGAATGTATCTCGTCTGCACTGTTTCAGTTATTCTACAAACATTTTATTTCTTCAAGGGAGAACCATTGCACAGATTTGTCTACAAACTGTAGTGTCTTTTCCCGCAATTTTTAACAAAAATCGCTGGATATTTTCGGCAAATTCTTGTGGCTGTTCTCGCTTTAAAGAAAAATTTCAGTAAGAAATACCGAAACAGCACCATTGAGATACGTTCCTCCATGTATAGGAGACAACAAATTTTTCCTGCGCAAAAAATCAATAGCTAGTCAAAACGATCGGTTGTTGCCTTTGCTTGGAACATACTGCTCTTTCTCAGTACAGAATGTTAGCTAATGTTTTAAAGTTCAACATGTTGCATGCTGTCTGGTTCCAATGGGGACTGTTCAAGTATTATTTAACACACTTTTTCCAATTTTTTGAGCCCCCCTCCCCTTCTGAATTACGTAGCGCTGGCCTAACTGAAAAAACAGCTTGAAAAAAATTTAGGGGTTTTTTGGAGATGTTTGGCAGAAATACAAGGGGAAGAGATCAACAAAGGTGTGAAAATTCATGATTAGATTTTTTTTATTCATATTTTTACCGGAACAATTTAATATGTTAACTGCAACCTACATTGCATTGGCTGGGTACCGCGCCAAAAAGGGCATGCATTCAAGAAGGGCGGGATTTTCAATTTCTTGGACGTTTTTTTTCCCCAAGCTCGGATTTGTTACGTACCGCTGGACTCAACCCCCCTCTGCAGTCTGTTGTGATGTAGGTAGGTGAGAGAGTCTTCATTTGCTGATTGGCTGAGGTCCAGCTGGAGCCATGACTTACTTACATCTCACAACATTTGGCCTCTGGTTGGCATTTGGCATTATTTGAAACTCAGGAAACAAATTTATCCGCTCTAGATACATTTTTTTTTCTTTTTCAATTTTTTCAGTGGTTTTGCAATGGACAAAGCATACATGGTCCACATGGTTTTTACGGTGATATTTTATGTCTTCTTCTACTTACTCCATTGTGCTTCATCTCTGTCTATCTCTGCGGAGTGGGCTCCATTGTTTACATGAAACACGGTGTTTGGGAAGGAATCGGACTAGCTGTTTTATCTGCATTCCTCCTTATCACATTCATCTTGTGGTGTTTTGTCACCTTGAGGTATTAGTTCATCTCTTATATTAATTCATATTTCACCTTTTCAATTATTTAATTAGCTACAAAATCGACCTGAAATTATACTTTATGAAACATTTTAAAACCAAGATACACTCCTAGCTTTTCCTAGCTGAAATAAATGGAAATCAAAACGTTTCAGAGCTTGGTTTTCAACCCAGGGGTAGGGAACATAGTATTCAAACAAAATAAGAAGTGTGTCGTTGTTCTTATTGCAAAAGATTGATAAGTGACACACCCGAATCTACAAATCTGTATATTGAAGCAGAGCACAAGACCTGAAAACAATCAGGGAATCATTTGCACAGAGGATAACAAAGTGTGGAGCCAGTGAAAAGCAAACGCATTACTGACAATTTTATGCACAAGTGAGTACTTATTAGTGTGGTTTTGAACTTTTTCATTTGCCGCTCTTAGTTATTTCAATATATAGTACACAATACCAGTGTGTACCAGTTCCCTTTGAATTTGGGAGGAAACTTAATAGCATGATGCCCATCTGTGTCAGTGTGGTGATTGAATCAACGTATGGGAAAACGTCCGATGTCCAAGACAGTGTTTCAGAATTTGAGTGGACAATTTTGTTGTAACTTAACGACACAAGATGGTTTAAGACGTCAGGAATGTAGATAAATTTTATAAATAATCGCCTAAGTGTAATTAAACGTTTACAAAAGAGATCGACCCTATTCATCAGTGTTGAGGGACAAAAGAAACCCACTGCAATTATGAAACCCTTTATTGGACAACGGACGTTTTTGCATACGTCTATTCAATTATAAATCTCATCTCTATTTTCGAGGTCATAGACTGTTTCCAGGAAGATTCTCGGAACATAATGCATCATTAAAGCCAAAATTCAGCATCGCCAGAGGTCTGGATAACCAGGACAGTCAGGAAATTCTAGGTAACCGGGAAAATTCAGGGAATTTCTGACACATCTATCAATCGCTACATACCACTGATCTTTCAACTGTTTATCCCTTCTGGACATTTTAAGGGCCTATCATCTTTCAACCGATGAATTGAGCCATCTTTGAATGCCTTTTTCCATAATTTGATCTCGAATCAAGGAAATTTTGTCCAAACTTTAGGGTTTTTTCAGTGTTTCTGAGATAAAGTATGTAGATGAAAATTATGTTGAAAGGTCAGGTAAAGTCAGGGACGTAGTAAGTTTTTGAGTTACGGAAAAGTAGAAAAAGTCAGAGATTTTAAAGATGAAGAAATTAAAGCAACCCTAAAATTTTAGCTCGTTGTAAGTAGAATCACTAATGTTTTAACTTCCTGTGATGATGGGACGGTTTTTCCCTAGTATCATATGAATGCCCAAATCAACTTTTCCAAAGAGTTTACAGGGGTGCCGCAAGCTCCTAAAAACCAAGACAGTTTGCAATGACAGTTGGATTGCATTTTGCAAAAAGGAACCACTAGAATTGCAATGTTGCTAAGATTGTGCAACTTCTTGGAGGAAAAACCCGATTATCCATTAATAGTTTCTATTTCACTCGCTAAAAACTGAGAATTTAAGACAAAAATTACCATGTAAATTTCATAGTTTTTCACGATTTTCGCAATTTTATTGCAAAGGATGAAGTTGCACAATCTTAGCATCATTGCAATGCTAGTGGTTCCTTTTTACAAAATGCGATCCAGTTGTCCGAGGGTGCAGAAAGACCAATGGAGGCTGCGTTGTTTAGCGGCGAAAGTATCTGCTAGATTCAAATATCAAACATGAATTCATTCATTTTTTCAGGTTTCACTGGAGAACTCTGCTTACGTGGAGAAACACTAACCAGGTTGTGGAATTAATGGAATATCAGTGCCAGTCCCGTCAGCGAACTGACAATAATGCAAACCGTGTTGCAGAAGTGCGAGCAGCGCCAAATGAGCCGTGCATCAATGTATGATGCATAGCCAAATCAACGATCAATTGTTCCTGCCGTCTACCTCAGCTGACTCATGTTTTGCAGCAGGTCTGTTGTTTTGAAAATTATCAATCAGTTATTTTTTTCATAATTTGTCATTGAGTTACTTTGTCTTGTTAGAACTATACCAAAATAAAAAGGTTGTGCTGTGGTTCTACCCCGTGAAGTCAGGTGCTAAAGTTTGTTAACTTCACCGGATGAGTTTAAGCTTACCGCCAGTGTTAACCCCGGTTTAAGCGTTTTACTGCCCTGATGTATCTCGCAGACTGTTATTATTTTCTCATGACTTACCGAGTTGTGTTTTTTTATTTCTTGATTTATTCCGTTCTAAACTTTCTTTTCCTATCCTTTTTTTTCAATTGCTCTTTCTTCATCTTTAGTAATGTTATTAATCACTATTTTACACCCCGTTTTAAAAGTTTTCATCTAAAATTCGACCCTGTAAATTAAAATGTTTCTGCCTTTTTACTTTCAAATAATTTTGCCTTCCCTACATTTTTAATTTCTGATAGATTTCTATAGACTTTATATCCATTTTTGAGACTCGAGGTTACAAAATCATCAATGTATTTCCATGTTTTTCTTTCTCTCCAAAATCACGAGTCAATAGTGAGATTTAATGGTTTAATTGGGTGCGATAGTCATCATCGGGGTATTCGATAGTGCTAAGAGTAAAAAAAAATGAAACCATTTTATAGTCGTCTAATTACGTGGAAAGTTATAATTTTATGTAATGACGAGTTCCAAAATGAAATTAATTTTTCCCGTTTAAATATTTCTAGTAGCCCACAATTCTAATAGTGTTCTTTTATGAATGTAAATATAAGCCTTTATTTATCTTTGTTTTATATTTTTATAGTTATATTTAGGGATGTGTGCATAGCAATTGTAAATGTTCTCTTACATTGTTTGTTGTCTGTGTTTCCTTTTTTTTCTTGCTTTCTCCATCAATCTAAGATGATTCCATGTTTAACCCTCTGCGTTTCATCAACAAATTATTTTCCTCTGCCCATTAATAATTTGATCAAAATGTGGCATTCAAAATAAGTCGGCAGTTTTTTCAATTTTGTTTCCATTTAGAAAGTTCTAAGCCCTAAGTGAAGAGTAGGCGAGGATTAAAGAATATGAAAAAAAATAAAAGTATAGACACAAACGAATGCTTTGTCAAGTCTCAATTGATTTCCAGTGATCAGATGTTTGGTTCTTTTTCTGCCTAAGCCTGAATCACGGGAAGACAGAAGTTGCCTCTAACAGATGCGAAATGAAGTTGGGAACAATTATCTGGAGCAAAAAAATAAGCCAAAATTGCTTTATCACTTCACTACTGCTTTGAAACTGTATCAATCTGTATATTCCTACAAGTGTTTTCGACACTCCTCATTTTCCTTCATTTATCTTGTACGCAGATGAAACGTTAGAATAAGGAATTTAAGACACCAAATAACATATTTATCTTACTGCCCCGTTTTATTTTTTTTTAAATGACTGAATTATTTAAGCACCCTTTTTCATCATCCCTAATCTTGCGGCTATTCATCAAAATGTGTCCCTTTAGGTTTTTTCTCATGAATTGAATGAAGCTTATCTCGATCCCTCATTCCCCCTCCCCCACAATCCATCAACTCATTCATACTTTTTTTGTGTTATTTTATGAATTGAATTATTATCATTTTGAAAGTGGTATTATTTTTCATGATATCGGAGTAGTACTTGTATAAGCATTGGCCAAAAAGTTTGTTGATTCATTGAATTCTAGTTGCCAAAGGAAATTTACAAAGAGTTGCTCTTCAAAAACTGAACTAGGTGTTGATGCATCTCCTAATTTAATAAAATGTGATGCTTACGTCATGTAAAAGCATATTGTATTCAAGATTATTTTAACATGTTTGATTCTTTATTTTTTTTTATAAATAGATTTTTAATATTTTTCGAGGTCCATTCTTAAGGTTTACTGCCTGAAAGTGAGCATACTGTAAAATTAATCCTGTGACCACCTTTTAAAACAGTTGTTTCTCTTTTGCATCAGTAACACTTAGAACAAAATTAATTTTACTATCTGTACTTATATTTGTCATTCTAAATATTTTGTTTTGTTTATGTATTTATTTTTTCCATCGAATGATTTTGAAATGTACTTAATTTTTGAAATTGAGTATGTCTGTAGTTAAGAGCCAAAGATTCATTACTGGGTGCCCCTGCTGTTGCTTGCTACCGGACTTTTTTGTATAGTCAATCAAGCGTAGTGGTAACTCAAGTCAGAGAATTAACCACGAGTCAGAGACATCATTTTTTCATCAGTCTTATTTAACCAAAAGCAACAGCTACACTTTAATGCTGTCATTAATTTTGTAGGAAGTCACTCTTGTGGTAGCTGACAACTATTATAGACATTATAATCAGATTTTCCTGTTTGTTCACGTCGTAAATTTTGTTGAAATTCCGTGTTCATTATTTAGTATCATTTTGATTTCCATAGCTTCTCTTGGATTTTTTGGAGTTTTCTTTCGGAATCCTTTCAAGCAATTTTGAGAATTTGGTTAAATCCAAGTGTCTCTCTCTCTCGCCAAAGAAAAATTCGCATACCTGTCTGCTTGCTCTAAAATTTAGTTAAGTCTTGAGAATCCTGGTAGGGAAATTTTTTTTCAGAATATATATCGATGGTGAAACGCACATCTCGATTACGACATTTCAACATCCCCGCTCCTATTTGTTACTTTCAAAGACAAGCAAATCAACTTCATGGCTCAAAAGTTTCAGAGAATATTCTTCACACAGAGAAGAAATTCAGAGAAGTTTTCAAGAAATGACGTTGCATATTTTTCTATTTATTTTTAAAAGTAGAGATTTTCCTCTGGAAAAAACACTATTTTTAAAAAATACAGTATAACAGGATGTCTTCAGTACCACAAATCAAGATAAGCGTTTTTGCAGTTCCACCGTTAATACATGGAAAACATACCCAAACAGCATTACTATAAGTTAAAGAGGACCCATGTGTCAACATTAAAGTCGAAGCATGCGCAAGAAAATATCTCACTGTTGAGGCTTGATTAAAAATTCAAATGACACTCTTTCATCCAGTGCTGTTATTTCCAATACGGAAGTGTTATGTTTTCTCAGGTTATCTTTTTAAATGTAACAGCTGGTGTTTTTATGAAACTGAACGATCCTCATAAAGTGATGTCTGAATTTTTCAAAGCTATAATAAGTTTTTGTCAAATGTTCCGAAATGCTTTTTATCCTTCAATGGAAATCTTCATTCTATCAGAACTAATTGTAGATGTTTAAATAACCAAGTTTTTGTTTTATAAGTTGTAATAAGTTATTTATCTTCCCCAAAATATTATATTTAGCTCAAATAGTGTCAATTATGGTTAATTCGATCAAAATGTATGTGTTAATTTGATTGAAATCCCTGAAGATTTCATGAAAATAATTTCAACCTTGCTCAAATGAAGGATTTCCTCAATTATGCACGTGATACATATTATGTCACAGATTTTCTGACGGAGGAGAAGATTCATCAGGCATCTTTAATTTGTCACCTTCCGGCCCAAGTATCACAGGCGTTATTTGTGCATTTCGATCGAATTTACAGAGAAATGTTAACTGAACTTCATTATACTTTGAATTATAAATGTTAATTTTAACTTCTGACAAAAGATACCAGTATTCTCTTATCAAAGCTTATGAAATTTCAGAAAATGGTTTATTGTAGCTGAAATATGTTTATTCATCATAGCCTAAAGCAGAGGCTATACCTTACACATGGATGATTGCATTTCCAAGCAATACTTTTTGAGCTTTTTTCAAACAGTATTTTGTGATCCGATTCCTCATTGTACCACTTGTGTTGTTCGACTGCTTGGTTGGTTAAATTCTTTTGAACCTCTAAAGCGATTTCAGCCATAAAGTTGAAATTTCTCTTATTCAAAGATGTGAAATCACTTATTTATACAAAAAAAATTATTTTCATACCAAGACCCAATACCTAAGGTCCGTAGTATTCATTTCCTCTTTTCATATTTATATTTGATTTATGTACAATCAGTTGTCCTCAGTAAAAATGTGGAAGCTCTCAAAAATACAGCCTGAAGCAAGAAAGCAATTCTCAACGAGCCATTTTAAATGTTCCCTCTTTTGTTGCTGAACTCTTGGGTTCAGTAGTATCAAAAGTCAAGAATTTCATGTCTTTTTTTTTTAAATTTTGAACTTTAATTTTTATGCACGCTCCGTCAAATCTGCGAGTATAATTCAATTAATTTAAAATTGAATGAAATTCAAAAATTGTTGGGCTATTTTTCTAGCAAAATCTCTCGATGATTTTTGCATTTAATTCAACAAACTTTTTAGTTTTTCCATTTTGAAAACTCAAAAGATAAAATCAAGGAACTGCTTTTAGTTCAGCCCTGTCTTCAAGAGGAGTTTCCACAATCCTATCATAAAATTCTTGTGATACAAACCTAAAATTTTGAAAGATGCATCTACTTATTTTTTTGTGTGTTTCTTGGGTCCAGAAATAATTTGCTTCCTGGAAGGACAGCATAGACTCCATTGATTTTGAGTTTCTTGCGTCTAGAAATATTTTTTGTTCACTGCAATGAGAGCTAGTAAAACCTCACACCCTGGTGTGTACAACCAAGTGATGATTCAACTTTACATGTGTAAGGAAATGAATTTGATCCTCCATTTTCAACATTGTGTATTATCAGGAAGAAACACTGACCTGCATCAGATAAATTACATTTGTGTGTGTTCGGCATCTTCAGTTAAATACATTTTTCATGTAGGGAAAAAATAAGTACATGAGAACAAACTGTTTTTTGAGTTATCATCATAAGGTCACCCTTTTTAATAAGCGATGTTGAACAGGTCAGTTGTTAATATTGTTTGTCACCCTCTGTTAAATATATACCTTATACATTTTTTATCATATAGCTGTAAGACTGATAAAATTGTGATATTTAGTTGTAAAATCAGCAATACTTGCTCTATTAAATTTATGTGTGAGTGGTCTGTCAATCTTTTGATGAAATTAAATTTTTTATATAATGTACAGGGATAGTTCCAAAACTTAAGTTTTATAAGCGTACTTAGTTTACATTAATCTGTAACCTGTTCATGGGACACTTCAATGGTCATTTTTTAGGCATGCAATTAGAGCTGCAGACTAATCCAACCTGACAGTGCTTACAGAGAAAAAAACAGTCTGATACAAAAACCAGTAATTAAACAGTCTTAGCGTACAAAAACCAGTAATTAAAGTGTCCTCAATCAGAGGTAGGATTTGCAATGGTAACTTTAATTATATTAAGGTAGTTTTTCATCACTTTTGGCACGAAAAGCAATTTGATAGATAGTCGAGCCATCATTTGATAATCTCTGGATTTTGGGAAATTTCCGAAGAATTTCTGAGAATCACATCACATTGTAGTACGACAGAGAGCACAAAAAACCGAGAAACTTTTAACTCCAAAAGTAAGGACTGAGTAAATATTGCAAATCATTCTGCCTTTCAATTTGGGATATTCATTCGGACTGTGCTTTTGGAGTTATTTCAAAATGTTTCTCGGTCAAATTTTGTGTGCAAAACCTGATGTACAACAAAACGTGATGTGATGCATGGAGGTCTTTAAGGAATGTACTAAAATCCAGAAATTATTGATTGATCTATTGACCATCGAATTATCTCCCAAAGTGCTGAGGAACTAACTTAAAAACTGGAAGGCAATAAAAAGATGCAAAAGTCAATTAAGGTAATTTAAAGTTTTTAATTGTGCCAATATCAGTGGCGTGGCGTGCTTTGCTATACATCCATTGTTCTGCCATTGAAACCCATGAAAAAGGATCGATGAACAGGGTGTTCGCAACAAACATGTTAATAATGGATTCACCATAGCTTCCAATGGGGAATTATCGATATTCATGCCTCGCCACTGACCTCTATCCAATTTTAGGTATATGATAATTGGACGTATTTCTACCAAACAGACCTATGTGGAGGTGAGAAATATGGAGTGTGCTTGTCGAAGCTGCATAAGAAGCAATGTAAAAGTGGGCGTGATTCCTTTTGAAGAATTGGAAAAGCGGGATATTACATTCTATCAAACAGACCTATGTGCCAACTGAATGCGGCAGTCATGAGCCGCGGGCATGGCAAGAGAGCGTTGTGGACAGGGCTCATGAGTTAAATCGCCCCGACGACGATCTTTCCCTCGCGCCCCGGCTCGGAGCGGCGTCATCATTGCCGCTGACGTCACTGGCGCTTTATTATTCTCATTCACTCTTACGCAAAGAGAGCTAACGAGCGTACCCCTTATTTCTCACTTGCACATAGGTCTGTTTGGTAGAAATACGTCCAATTAATCTTCGCTTTTGCATTAAAACTGTAAACAAGAAAGTTATCAGACAGTGCACTGCCCTCAGTGTCCTGGTCCTAACTCGAGGTACCTATCACTCAACCGAGTGGGTTGATTTTTCTCCTCCTTCATAGTTGCTCTCAAATTATAACCGTCTCAAGTGCCTCAATGACCCTTGAATTTACCCCGTCAACTCGAACTCACCCTACGCTCTACAACCTGCTTTCTATTTCATTGTGAAAAAGCGCAAGTGAACCATTGTGAATTAGTTTCAGATTCCAATTTATTTTTCTTGATGAAATAAAGTTATGTCTATTTGAAAAAAAGCTATTTTCTCATTGAAATATTGCACATCCCCTACCCAATCTCGAATTTCAAAGGAAAAAAAAAATCTAGTGCAAATCATTTTTCGGTCAACATGGTGAAACTTACCACATATTGACCAATAATAATTGGATCGCATTTAGTAAAAAGGAACCAGTGCGATTACAGTGTTGTAAAAATGATGCCTCTTCATAACTATCCAAAATATCTTAATGAAGAAATATCTTTATGAGAATAGGAAATAGATTTTGCTTCACACCAAGCAATTGTTATTTTCCAAGGGAAATTATCGTGTAAATTTTAATACTGTACAAATATTGAGTATTTTTCTAAGGAAAGAAGAAGTTACACGATTCCGAAACACTAATTGCGCAAGTTCCTTTTTGCTGAATACGATCCAATTCATCGTTCCTGCAACACTGTGATTCTGTGTAAGTGTCCGTAAAGCTTCGCATCAAAAATTTTTTTTTGGATTTTAATGTGTAATCCCATTATATTTTTCTCTATTTTGGCCAAGAAAAAGAAAATTCAAGATTAGTGTCAAATCCTCCATAATTTGAGGCGAAGAATCTGTTGCGCATGGTCCCGAGGCTTGGCGAAGCTCTCTGAGCCGAGGAACGCTGAAAAACGAGTGTTTATGGTCCTTTAGGGTCAAATTCGAAAGTTCTTCGATCGGGCTGAAACCAAGCTGGTGCTTTTGGAAATGATCTATAGAGACAGATTTTCAGGTCCAAAAAGCTCCACGAGTCCGCCGGACCGAGCGATCGGTGAGAAACGCGCGTTCAATTAACTCTCACCAAAGGGTCAAAAGCACTCGTTTTTCGGCGTTCCTCGGCTCAGAGAGCTTCCCCGAGCCTCAGGACCATGCGCAATCGATTCTGCGCCTCAAACTACGTAGGATTCGACACTAATCTCGAAATTTTTTTTTCTGGCCAAAATCGAGAAAAACTTTTTATGGTCATAATAAATTGTAATCTTCCGTCACATTCTTACGGCGCAATGATACAACTATTTGAACTCTCCGGAATGCGTGAGGTATCACGCCGCATTTGAAGGCGTTTTCAAAAGAGCCAAGTTCCGATACCCGGTTTATCGTTTTGCAAAGTTCTTATTACTATGTTTTATTCCCTACCATTTGTTTGTTTTCAATCCTCCTATAAAAACTACTCATTTGCTGAATACAATTCTAGCTGGAGCGCACTTCAGCTATGCATTCACGACTACTAAAATGTCAAAGGAAATCGACAAGACTAGCGTGTATGAAGGCTATTTCAATTGTAATCTGCCGTCGAATTTCTAAGGCGCAATGATACAACTATTTGAACTCTCCGGAATGCGTGAGGTATCACGTCGCATTTGAAGGCGTTTTCAAAACAGCAAAGTTTTGATATCAGGTTTGTAGTTTCGCAAGAAATTGGAGCACAAAATCAATCGAATGACTAATTTTACGAGTTAATGCAACTCAATAAATTTGTTTTTTATTTGATTGAAGCGTTAGAAAACAGTTCGGTCAGAAATTTAAATCAACCTACGGTCTATTATATAGTTCATATTCTTTTGTTTTGTTCCGTACCACTTGTTTATTTTTAATCCTCGTATAAAAATCACCCATTTGCTAAATATTTGCGAAATACAATTCTAGCTGGAGGGCACTTCAGCTATGCATTCACCACTGCAAAAATGTCAAAGGAAATCGACAAGTCCAGCGTGTACGGAGGCTATTTCAATTGAGGACACCGCACCGCGTTTTTAGAAAAACGCATTTAAAGTTTTGTTTTTTATGTACTGCGCAGATTTTTCGATGCAGGTACCCTGTTTTGGTGTTTTTGGGTGACCTAACCCTTCTATTGAAAGATGCCGGGTAGATTTTGCGATGCATTTTGGGTTTATACTCTCATATATTTAATTTAAAAAAGCGGTTTATAGGCCTATATTACGCCCAACAGTCATTTTGGTGGCAATATGAAGTATAAATCATTTTAATCACCCATGATTAACGCAAAATGAAAGAATATCGATAGTGAGTAAAGGAAGGGGTAACTAGCACCTTACAGGCCCTTAAGTTTATAGGCCCGTCTATAGGTCGTTCTTGCACCCATCGATCCAGACGCCTGACTTAACTCGGAAAAAAAAGGTTTTTTGACCTCGAGCCGTTACCTATCTATATTCTATCGCTACCACAGCATAGTCCAGGGTACGTAGAATCCAAAAAGCAGATGGGCGTAATAACGACCTATACGCCTACAGGCTGTTCTTGGTGCGGTGTCCTCAAATGAAGTTCTCCGATCGGGCTGAAACCAAGCTAGTCCTCTTTTTGACCCTTTGGTGAGAGTTCATCGAATGCGCGTTTTTGCCAATCGCTCGGTCCAGTGGACTCTCGGAGCTTTTAGGACCTAAAAATCGAACTCAGTGGATCATTTCCAAGAGGACTAGAATTGAATTTTCAGCCCGATTGGAGAACTTTCGATTTTTTTGACCCTAAAAAGTTTGTCCTAACTGCCCGAACTACTGTCTACTCGCCTCAACCACAATGGTCCTGAGGCTCTTTGCGACTTCCAAAGCCGAGGAACAGTTTTCTTTCCTCTCCTCAATAATGAAATAAATGAGATAAAAAAAATTGATAATGTGAACAGTGAAGTTCTGTTTTTGACAAGAAAAATCAAGAAATCTATTTTTTATGATTGGTTTCTGTATTTCAGTTTTTTAAAGGATATAAACATCATTCCAGCATCCATTTTTCATTCCAAAAATGTGTCAATTCTGAAAAGTTTTAATCCAATTTTTGTAGGAAAAAAAATGTTTGGAACATTCTGAAAAGTTTTGAACAACATAGTCTCACAATGATCCACTTAAGCACCATGAGCCTTTTCATTGCGTCAACTCTTCTGCCTCCCGAGAAGTATTTCATTATCTCCTGAAAAAATATTGTTTTTCAGAATTGGCACTTTCCTGAATGAAAGGCCTCAAATTTTGGTCACATAAGGCAGCATGATGCTGCAGGACCAGCAAATGTCAGGCTCGGTCAATATATTAGATATCACTTCCTCATCATCCTCGGTCCAAAGGTGACTTAGAGTTGGCCATAAATCGAGTACATATGACCGAAAATCACTCAGCCGATTTTATACTCTCCTTATTGGTGACTTGAGCCAGCCGTGACTTTTGCTGGGCTGGTCAACGAAGTTCAGTTCCTAAACAAAAGTAAAGAACACAAAAATTAGACAGAATCAAATCTTTTTTATTTAACAAAAACCAAAGGCTACAATAATATCTGCTCTCACTTTCATTCAGTACATTGATCAAAAATAAACATGACATATTAAAAAGGACATATTTTTAATTTCAACACTTAAAAATGCAAAAGAAGTACTCAACATGGTTCCTCTTGTAAATAAATTAGACTTTTGGAACATCATTCCAGTAACTCATCCACTTGTGACTAAATATTTTAGCTCCTCTCAGGCAATCAAAAGGAACCTCATGAAATATTAAGCCAGTGTAATAACTTAACAGGGTTGCCACAGGATTTAAAAAATTCAATTCCTTGACATTTTTTAATAAAATTTCCTTCCAATCAAAGATATGCCGAATGGTTAGAAGGACATAGTTTCAAATAGTTTTCTCCCAAGATTTGTTATTCAAAATGTCGAAGCTATTCTAGAAAGTGAATCAAAGTGGTTTAACAATTTTACTCTGACATTCCCTGGTGTTCATCGACTATGGCAACCCTGAACTTAAAACCCATGAACAGGAGGGGGGAAAATAATTAATGTCGTACTATAACTTAAAAATTAAAAACCAGCGATGAAATAACTTACAGGAAACTTCTTCGGACTAGTTCAGAGGAAAATTTTTAAAATGCTAATACGATCCTTGGGATGATCAGAACAGTGTTCATGCATCAACATGCTGAATGATGAAGATACCAAAAATTGACTAAAAATTAACTTATTAGATTTTAAGCTTAAGCAGAATATTTTGACACTTAAAAGTACACAAAGATCGGGAAACAATAGATGAAATTAATGAAATTTGCCCTATCATAATCACTGAAAAAGCAATTTCTCTACTTTGCTGAAAGAAATTTTGGATCCTTGTAAAGTGTTGATTCATGCTTTCAGTGCTTAGAGAGAGCAGGTTCTTATCACTTGGTAGACAATAAAACGAGAAGAGTGAAAGAGCTGGGAGAATTAGAGATGTTTCATCTTTCATTATTTGTTTATTTTAATTTTTTTCCTTTTAGCACCGAAGCACTTTTTTTCTTCTCTGGTGATCAGAAGCACTTACTTCAAAATGGTTTTAGGTCATTTAATTTGAGCAGCTCATAAAATAATGGACATATATGGCATTAATGGTTGGCATATATGGATAATATGGATATCATTGCTGCTATAAATGACTGCTGTCTGCTTAAATTATCATACTCCTAGGTGAAAGAAAATATTGAAATTAACTTTGCCATTCTCATTAGACTTATGGTATTACAACAAAAACTGTCTACAGTAAGACAAAACAATGATTAAATAAAGGATATTTAAGTACACAAGATTCCTCACAGTAGCGATGCATCATTGTAAACGTTTTCAAGAACAGATTACATAAGAATGTAAGGTGTTGCATGTAACTTGGTAGCAAAGCGGTCTAGAAAGTCCATGTGAAAAGTGAATTATAAAGTCTGTGACAATACATATATTTGATTTTTATCAGGAATATATTTAGATAAATATTTGATTTCAGGTTTCGTTGCCCCCCTTCATTGAAGACCAAATGAGACTTCACTGTCGATACCATAGTTGGAAAAAAATATTTATTTTATTTTTTACCAACCTTACACACCTGAAAAAGCACTCATGCCAAAGAGAGGACCATAATCATAGGATTCTCAGTAATTCTGGTTAAAAAATAAACGGATTGATGAAATGCAATCAATAAGCTGGATTAAAAACTGAAACTAAACTAATGACTTCAGGCAAAAAAGTAACAGTCTTAGCACTTCAACTTTGGCGCAAGTTAGATTTTAGTGAAAATCCTCTATGGAAAACTAATTAATGTAATCATTTCTACTAAGCAGTAAAAATCAATAAAAAAAATATATATGTAACTAACTTTTGAAGAGGCGACAAAGTCCTGACTTTATTGTCTTGGTTTAGACTCAGCAATAACAGCTCTGATTAAAAAAGATGGCAAAGGAAAATTTCCGATAACAAACATCTAGGAGAGCTTAAAATAAAACTTCAGTGATACAACAACATTAAAATAAATATGCTTTCTCGTTTTTTATAGATTAGGTCTACAAAGATAAAAATGTTTTGTAACAACAGCAATAAATTAAACATCATAAATACTTGCTAATTTAATGAAAATAATACAATATTATTTTTTTAATTAAAAATACTGAGATAGAGCTTGTTTTAACAGAAAACCCAGCAACGTTGACAGCGAGGGACTTCGGGCTGGGAGCTTGGGGAAGGTAAAGCATCCAAACGAGGACATGGGTCCTCTAATACCCATAGAATAGCACCGGTGGCTGCAAAAAACAAACTCAAATTAATGTGCTGTTCTAGATCTCCTTTTAAAAAATACAGTGCATCCATGATAAGTCAGCTTGCATCTAGACCGAGATGTACATACTGAGTTCAGTCAGGATAGAGAAATTGTACTGAGTTAAGTGGCTGCCTATTTCGAAGATACTGAGTTATCCTGATTATCTTAGCATTGTGTTGTGTGGATGATAAACGGGACCAAAAGATTGTATCGACTAAACAGGTTACCCATCCAACCAAGTTATCATGGTTTCACTGTAAAAATGAGAACTATGAAGCATCTGGAAGATATTTGGATAGAGTTTAGCAAAACAGTCACATCCAACTTTCAGTATTTCAAAATCTAATCTTCTACTTTAAAACTTTGGAGCGGAACCAACCAATATTTCTACATAAAATTTTGTGGACATAATCTTAGTAAGGGCAAGAGAAATTGCAAGAATTTCTGCGTAGAAATATTGGTGGGTTTCCTTCCAAAAAATCAAAAAGAAGGTGAGATGTTGAAACACTGCAATGTAGGTGAGACAGTTTTCCTTAACTCTGTCTATTAGACCAATGATGAAATCTTGGGTTATTTAAAATGGTTCTCCAATACTATCTAAACCATAACCGTGTTTTATCATACATTTTTCAGCAAGAAAATAAAAATATAGATTGCTTAAGAAATGCAAAAAGCACAAAAATTGTCATTACTGTGGAAAAATTTGGTGGTTAAACATTCACAGTAGCATGGCAGATCAAAAAATTCCTAGCAAGACACTTAATCAGACCAGATAAATGAGCATTGACACCAGGCCTATCAGAGCCGCAGAAACATCGACGTGTGTCATCTGGGTGTCTATTAAAACAGACTGGCCAAAAATCAATACTTTTAAAATACAGAAAACTTTGGTACATTTTCAGTACCTCTGTTGGACGAAATTCAAAAGATTTTGAAAATTTGAAATTCTTGCTCACATTGCGGCAAAGATGATGTAGATACAAAATTTCATTGGTAACTTGAAAATTAACTGACTGCACAATCGTAATCTTGCAGGCAAATACTACTTTAAAAATCAATGCGCAGGGAAAAGCATACTTTCCATGTTTTATTAAAAAAACACACGTAGTGAGAAGGAAAAAATTACGGCCCTTTCTGCGGAATTTCCGCACTTCCTCAGCGCTTTCCAACCGTCCTTGTAAAATCAGTACTATTTTCAGACTAATAGACACCTTGGACATGTACCAGAATCATATTCCTAACACAGTATTATGATCTTTGTTTTAAAAATGACTATCATATTTCATTGGAAGTCAACATACTGAATTTTGCGTCAAAATAGTCAGCAGAAAGTAATTAGCAAATGAAGGAGACTTACAATCAGTTTCATATCTGATCATCAGTTTATCCTTTCTGAGTGCTCAAAGGCGTTATGACTCCTCCTGGACCAGGTAATGTGGAAATTCCCATCAAATGCGCATCTATTTCTCTAGCTGCTTGTCGACCTTCAGCGATGGCCCACACCACCAGTGACTGTCCTCTTCTGCAATCTGCAAAAAAATAAAATCAAAGTAAGGATAATTTTTACGGAGATATTTTTCATTTTCTTCTTCTTTACCTTCTGTAGCTAGTATTGGAAAGACTTCTCTGCTTATCTCCTCCATTCAGCCCCAATATAACCACATTACAGGCCAAAAATCATGGGACCTTTTGGTAAATTTTGAATTGGATTAGCCCAAACTAGTGATAGTGACTTTTCTTTTGTATGGCCTTTTCTACTTGAGAAGTGATCTTCACAAGATTTGTCACAGACAAGTTTCACTTGGGAAGTAGAGATAAATATTGACTAACATTTCAAAATTAAACACAGTACCAAGGAGGGTCCTTTTAGACATACAAAACTTACCAAGAGAGAAAGAAGGAGTGAAAGCGAACTGTGAGATATTTTGTTGCTTACTTTCTTGTTCATCTCAGTTTAATTTACATAATTTGTTTGCTAGTTTGCTGCGTTTAATTATTATCTTAATTCTAATTACATACTTGATTTTAATCTTATTATATCTTGCCTTTATTTTAATCTTATTTTTTACTTTATTTTATCTTCCCGATTAAACTTGTCACAGGAACATTAGAGTCTCGTCCCGTGGAGGCGGTAACTACAAAAAAATCCCAAAAGTTTCATTCTTGCTATTCAACCCTGGAAAAAATCTCATGAAAACGTCCTGTGAAGACGAGGTCTAAGTCATCCTGCGGTTAAGGCTAGTTTTAGTAGCTTGTTTTCACTGTGCTGTTGATAAGCAAGAATGCTACTGCGAGTCAACCATGGAACAAATTACGAAATGCACTGCCACAATCAAAAGATGGTATCCAGATTAGAACCATCACATTCACCTTTCTTCTTAAGATTCCTTGGCCTCATGAGAACACATAGGCAGAGATTTGGGCAGGGAACATGCTAATTGGGTACGTTACTGACCAACATCAGATAAAAATGACACCATAACCTTATGATACCCGGAGACAAAAAAGCACCAAGTTATCAGTATCAGATGAAACTGAGATGAAAAGGTGTCAGAATTTTTAATAGAGCCTACCTCCAGCTGCATAAACTTTGGGCAGACTTGTAGTGAATTTCCCGCTGGGAGTTTGATAGTTTGAGCGAGGATCCAACTCCAATTCCAACTCGGAAGCTATATAATGCTCTGGGCCTAAGAAACCCATGGCAAGTAATACTAATTCGCACTTGTAGACCTGGAAAAAAAGGAATGTTTTTATTTAAAAACACAGAATTAAAACTCTTCCTTGAAGTTTAAAGGGCGACTGGACTTTGTAAATATTCTATAAAATGATGCTACGGCAAAACAGCTGGGCAAGATATTTTGCCAATGCACCACCTTGACGTGAAGCAACAGAGAGGCGTGTTGAATCATTCAGCAGAGTTATTTGTAAGGTTCATAAAAAACCATACAAAATGGCCAAGATATTGCAATTTCATAACAAACCGGATGTGTGAGATCCTCTCAGCCTGCTAAGTTTACCAAAACTAAGATGACCCGAACAGTAGACAGCTGAGGATTTTGCCATCAAGAAGAAAATTATTTACATGGTCTAGATGGATAAAACCCTGGTTACTAAGAAAATCTGAGGGGTATACTGGATTGCTCTGTCTGCAGTTGAGTATTCTACGCAGGTATAGACAAAAAATTTCATATTCTTAACTTCTGGTTTGTCATGAGATGCTTTTCAGCGAAGGACATAAGTAACTAACAACATTAACGAAACACCAACCTTTTCTGAGTTAGGAACTTCTTCCATTTTCCATCTGCCGACCTCATCTTTCGTCCAGCTAACTTGTACTGTTTTAATACCAGCCACATGACCATTGCCATCATCCAAAAATTCCTTTTAAAAAAAAGAGAGAGAGATTCATAAGTATTTTTACAATGCCTCACTTAGAGTTCGAAAACATTTAGGATCAGATTTTTCATTTTTTCACCCTGATTATGACTAGAGGACTGTGCTCTTATAAATTATTTGAGATACTTTTACCAACTTTTGGTGCCCCTTCCCATCATAAGACCATGTCTTCTTCTCCCATCTTTCCTGATGCAGCAAGTGATCGGCGCTACTTGTAATTTAGGGACGAAAATGTCAGACACATGGGCAGTTGCCGACAAAACTCATATAAAAGATAATTTACCTTTCAACAATTAAGAAGTTCAATGGCTGTGAAAATTTATCAGCACTTTCTTAGAAATTTTATGTATTGTAACTGGATACTATTGAATTTATTTAACACCACAGACAGTCATTTCTTAAACCTTCTAGGTTCTAAGTCATCCTTAGAGGGCTGAGAATTCAGTTCAAGATGCCATCTGGCAGTTTTTGTACTTCATCTCTTCAGTAATCACATTAACGAAGCTTTGATCTTGGCTGCATTTCAAAGGGGGGGGGGGGAATACATGGACGCCAATGCACATTTAAATTTAAAGGATTGCAAGAGAGAAATCTAAACTCTGCTTACCTTGCTGAGAACACTATATTTGCGCGGGTCATCACCATGTTTGACTTTTACTTCCTCATGACCGTAGTCCACTTTAAACACTCTTGGATACTGTGGCCAAGGATTATCACGACCACGTCCCGGTGGGGGCTGCGGGAGAATTTCAAACGTTGTTATGGATTTAGCGCCCTGGAACAATAGAAATGTTTTTATTAAAAATTGAAGCATTTTCACACTACTGTCACACTTGATGGGGACAGGAGAAACCGGTTTGTGACATGTTTAGCGAGACACTCTCAGCTTCAAGCAGTACCCTTATGATTTTATACTATAGAGTAAGATGTATCCAGCTACAAGATAAAAGATTATTTATAATATTAAGTAAAACAACTTTAAAAAAGTTTGCTTTAACTTGAAAAACAAAGGGGTGTTTCTGATCAAATTACGTAAAAATTTCAGTTCAATTCTATATTCAACTTTTTTTTTTTATTTGATTGGATTCGATTCATGGCCAAGGAACCATATTTTCCGAAGCCTAACTTTTGCCATCCATACATTAGAGGCCAAACATAAAATATGTAACGCTAACTTGAGGGTTTTTTGACCATCTCTCCCCAAATTATATTATACCTTACAAAATAGACCAAAGCTCTTGTTGATCATGTCTCATCACAAATACAGAAGAAAAAATAGAAAATGCAGACCAAATTGGATACCTGTCTTAAGGAGGTTGCAATACAATCACAGCCGGTGTCACCACCTCCAATCACAACTACATTCTTGTCCTTGGCTAAAATAAGAGATGTTAATTCGTTGCCCATTTGTTTTTTCTGCCAGGTTTCCAAGAAGTTCATTGCGAAATGAATACCTTCGAGTTGTCGACCTGGTATTGGCAAGTCTCTTGGAAGAGTTGCTCCTGTGCAGAGCAACAATGCATCGTACTCCTCGTACAATTCCTGAAACATCAGTTAAACATCATGAATACATTTCTCTTGGAAGATTTGTGCCAGAATCTTGGGATTCTAGTCTTTAGAGCCTATATGTTGTTATAACAAATGTTGTCATTCACGATTTCTACTGCATGTTATTAGAAATCCATCGACACACAGTTGAGTTGGGAGTAGAAAAAAGGTAAAATAGGGTGCATAGTGTAAAAAGGTCGGACATGACTTGGAAACTTTAAAAGCTTGTACCTCCGTTAATAATTTACTTAGACGTTTGATAATAGTCCCATTGGTTTATTTGTACAATTTTCAGTTTTAAAGCAAAAAAATTCACGTCCAATTCTTTATTCCAGTGGCTCCTCCCACTGTGAAGCACCTCAAAAATTACTTTTAGAAAAAAATATTGATGGTGAAACTGCAGAAATGCATATTTCAATTTGTGACGTTGCAGACTTCCTGTCATACTTTGTTTTCTACATGAAAAACTACTGAATGTCATTTGTTGAAAATTTCAGTAATTTTTCTTTTCCTTATAAAGTGTATTCTGTGAAAACTTTAAGCCATGGTGTTGGTTTGATCTTCGTTTAAAAACTAGATTAGAAACGGAAATTTCGAAACACCGTGACAGATTTACCCATTTTTACAATTTCACGTCAATATTGGATTTCTCCTTGAGTTTGCAGCATTATAAGCTGCCTCTTCATTGCACTCATGTGGAGTATTTTACAAATAGTTTTGTAATAAACCAGCAGATACCATAGGTTATTGCGCAGGAGAACAGATAATACTTTCCCTGCATAGTGCCATTTATACATGATCTTTCAGGCGGCTAAGAAACAGCGCCACTGGCCATAAGACAAGCAAGTTGACTGTGGGCGAGTTAATTACTTCTACTGACTTTTAACACTTGTAATAGATAGTGTTGGTTAAATTCACTTACCTTAGCAGCTATATCTTTGCCAACATTGACATTAGTTTGGAAATTGATGCCTTCATCGGCAAGTAATTTGACTCTACGTTGAACAACTTCCTTTGACAATTTCATTGTTGGGATTCCATACTGTAATAATCCACCGGCGCGGTCATTCCTCTCAAAAACAGTGACTTGGTGCCCTGCCTGCGAAACAATTCACAGCTCGTTTAGTGCTATTGAAATATTATCATAAAAATTTGAAAATGGGCGAGGAACGACATATGTACACACCTTGGTCAACTAAATCATTGTTTAACATCCATGTAATTTTTAGATTTTTAATTTAAATACACTTTTAAAATTATAAATACTGAATATGATATAGATATATTTTACATAAGAAAATAAAATTTCTGTAACTTTATGAACCCAAAAGGGTAAGAATATGTACATATATATACTTTAGTATGTATAATTTTAAAAAAAATTCTCTTCTACTTAATGTAAGTTTTTCCAAGTAACTGTCATCAAAAAAAAAAAAAAAAAAAAAAAAAAAAAAACACGAGTTTAGTCCACTTAATACTTTCCAATGGAGTTCTAAAAAAATTACTTATCCGACCAGTTCTTTCGTTATTATAAGAGAGAATATAAAGTTAAATGAAAATGTGCTACCTTATTCAATTGATGAGCAGCGCCAAGACCAGCTGGACCAGAACCTACGACCGCAACTTTCTTGCCGGTCTTGAATGTGGGCTTCTCCGGCTTTATCCAACCTTGTTCAAAAGCGTTATCAATGATGGCACACTCAATATTTTTGATGGTAACTGCTGGAGCATTTATTCCCAGTACACAAGCTCCTTCACATGGTGCAGGACAAACACGCCCGGTGAATTCTAAACATAAATACAAGTACATTAAAGTGTAATTTGATAGGATATGATATAAATCAGAGACAAATTATTTTAATCTAGGATGATTACATGTAGGAAAAAAAAGAATGATCGAAAAATGTGGTTCAAGACAGCTTTTTGAATCTAAAATCTAGGACTCTCGAGGACTTGTTAAGAGCTTCGGAGAAAATAGTTAAGAGGTTGCAAGACGATCTCAGAAAACTTCATGGATGTCGTAATATGGTGATTTTTCTTTTTTCAATACCTCAATTGAACTGCATTTTGCAATTCAGAACTACAATTTCTTACTCATTTGTAAAAACACATGTGCATAGGGAAGCTAATGATACACACATTGTTTCTGAACCAAGCCAGAAATTGTAGTTCAAATCGCAAAATGTAGTCCAATTCTCTGCTACCTAAGTGAATGTTGTGACAAGTAATTCATACATACGAGTTGCTGTTATAGCGCTCTTTGGCGCTTTGCGACACCTAATCGCCACAAAGCTCGGTCTTCCCACAGGTTATCAGGGGGTTATCAGGGGGTGTGACAAGTAATGCCCTTTAAAAATTTAAAAGCCTTGTGATGGAAAAAATAATTTCTGAGTAGTTGTGAACAGTAAACCATTTAGTAAATAGAATTGCTGGATTACATAAATATCTACGATTACGATGTACATTCACTTAATTTTACCAATTTTGGAGACTTTCTAAAATCTGCAAAAAAAAATTCCTTTTACCGAAAATTTTTGGCTCAAGTTTTTGGATTATGTTTTTTTTTCTTTTTATCCCCCTTGAGTCGAGCGAGTTTTGAAACAAGTAATGAAATTGCTCTACCTACAGAAACTGCTTTATGATAGAAACTAGGGAACTAAATTGAAAGCATGATGAAAAACATACCAGGAAAGTTATTGGTTTGCAGTAACTGATTGAGAGCTTCACTCCAGTTATTCTGAAATACGAGATCATTCCATTTGGGGATAATATTGCCGAGCGGACAACCATGAGAAGACTGGCAGAAAGGTACACCGCACTCCATGCAACGTGCAGCTTGTACTCGCAATCCTTTACGAACATGCTGGAAATTGTACACTTCATCCCAATCTTTAAGTCTCTTCTCTGCTGGTCGGTATGGACCAGTCTCTCTTCCATACTTCAAAAAGCCACTGTAAAAAAAAAAAAAAAAAGATGTCAGTGCTTCTAATTTATTTTAGTAGTTGAATTGAACACGAACAGAACATCTATAAGGAGAAATATATATAGCATACTTAATGAACACAATCAATGGCCGAAGATCATATATCGATGGCCAAAGTACAAAACCACGTATCTTTGTCTGTGACGCTGCAGACTTCCTGTCATACCTTATTTTTTCTTTGGAAAACTAGTAGTTGACGTAATTTCTTGAAATCTTCCTTGATTATTCTTCTCGGTTAGAGGAATATTCTGCACAAATTTCAAGCTATAATGATTGCTTGTTTCTCTACAAAAAAATAAAATAGGAGTAAAGATTTTGAAACACAGCGAAGGAGATACATAGTTTAGCACTTTGACCATCGGTATAAAATTTACCAAAAATGCCCTGTTGAAACTACAGACTTGAATCCAACTTTATCAATTTTTAATGCAGACCAAGATTTTTTCGTTACCTCGTATTTGACTAGAGAATTTTAAAGGAAGTAAAATTATTGTTTCAAATTCTCAAGGGAATTCAGCTGACAGCAACGTATGTCCGTTAGGGATCTGCCAGGGTGTCTACTAAAATTTCGCTTCGGATAATCCTCATATTTAAAATGAAATTTCCTTATTTTTTGGGTGAATAAATCGACACTCATTTGATTGTACATACCAACATATTTTATGAATTGAATGAATGCTTCACTTTAGCATGAGCTAAACTGCATGTATGTAGTTGAAAAATGCTTAGAATTTCCTGATCCATGACCGATTTTCTTGATATTTTCCAGGTTACATGAAATTTCCTGATATTGTTTGCTTTTTACTTATGTAAACACCCTGTCACTTAAAGGTGGCCACTCGCTGACTATTGCTGCCACCCAGGTATTCGGAGCAATGATAGCAAATAAAAATGATAACTTTAAGACTTTCAATGTGAGGATAAGGACTTCAGTGTAATAGGCAGTTACTGACCAGATAAAACAAGGAAAAGAGTGAAAATGACAAATACCGTGTTTTGTCCAGGATCTTTTCTTTCTTTGTCGCTAAAGCTGTGTCATAGACCGTTTCTTCGATGTCACGCACAGTTTGTTCCGAAACAGGAGGAGGGGTAGGAGTGGGTGAGGCGGGCGGGATATCTTCTACCTTTTTCTCAGCAGCTGCCTCCTCCGCAAGCTGTCGTAGTGCTCGTTGATATTCATACGGGAACACCTGACACGCGAAGAAAAAAGGAAATTATGAAAAAGAGCCAACTTTTATAAGCCATTGTGTGAGAAAGATGTTGCAAGGTTGCGATTGAAATGATTGATACCAAATTTTTTATCCCTTCCAAGCTGGTTTTAACAACAAGATTTTATTGACAAGTCATGACAGTAGGAGTGACTGATATTTTCTCTTGCATATTTTCTATTTAGTATATTTTTCACTTAGCATTTTTTGCTATGATGCGGTGAGAGCATAATCTACAAGCCTACCATAGAACTTATCATAAAGTACTATTATAGACACAACAAAGAAGGCATACTAAAGTTGCCGCAATTACTGGTAACAGTAGTCTGCAACTGTAAAAATCTGCCCTTTTTTGGCATGATTTCTTAGCCTTACATGCACAAAACAAAAACAAATGAGCATATAACATGTTCACCGCATTTTTAACCCCAGTAGAGGTCTACACCGCAAGCATCACAACAAAACCAATATTTACTAAGACAAGACTCAGCTCAGAATAAAATATCTCATTTGATGCCAATTTCACAAGTAATAAAGAAAAATAGAAATTTGCAGCTGCATCTCTCACAGATCACACTCTTATGGCCTGAATGGTGGGGTGAGTCAAACATCTGCGGAACTAACTAAACCCACTGACTACTTCTCATCTAACGACCTATAAAAACTTAGAGACTAAATTTCTTGCTTTAAAAACTGGTGGTAGCTTCTTGTTCAATTTTGTATGTTGTGACACGGCTATGTTTTATGGCGTAATTGTAATTCGTTAATTTTGAACAGCCAGTAACACTAATGGATGCTAAAAGCATCTACAGTTTCATGGACAGATTGAAATGTGATGGCCTTAAAGTACAGCACTTAAGAAGCTCGATGAGCAGTGTTCTAGTCAGGGCCACACTTGTTGATGATCAAATCAACGAATGAGAGCAAATTATCAGTATGAGGCTTGCAGTGTTGACTTCCTTGCTTCAAGCGCTAGGCCTGTTTGATTTCATTTAGGCAGATTGTAAGTTGCCAACATTGGTAGTACACATTGCGCGGCTTAAATGTCATACCTTCATTACGCTGCTCAAGTGAGGATTTAATATCTTTATGTTCTTACCTTGATGAATTTCTTAGCAGGCTCTGGCCATACAGACACCAACTCCTTTGCTATCTCAGATCCTGTTTTCTCATGGAACTCGATCAAAAGTGACTTGACATAATCTAAATCTTCTTGAAGCTCAAGTGGAAGCAGTTCAACCATCTCAGGGTTGCATTTTCTGAAAAATTTACACAAATTTTGTGAGTAAGACTTGAATTCAGATTCGTAATTATTAAAACTCCCAGCCGCCATTCTCGGTAAATTTTAATTTTCTGTAACTTCACAAGGGCGGAAACGAACTTACACAGATTACGAGTGCTCATACTGCGCTTCGGGCATTTAAAATTGTGATTGGTGCAAAAGGGTGGTTAAGCACAATTAATGGAACCTAATTGTATATTTTGAGACAGTATAAACTTTTGAAAATCTTAATAAATGCATAGAAAGAAGTTCTATAATCCTGGGGCAATCTCTAATATTATATGCTGTTACTTTCTAGCAGCGAGGTCTTACGTGAAAAGAGGTGACAATTTTACTCACCCTCTAAAGGAACCATCCACATCTAGAACATACGCAATACCGCCTGACATACCAGCAGCAAAATTTCGACCAGTAAGACCCAATATTACAGTACAACCTCCTGTCATATATTCACAGCCATGATCACCAACACCCTAAAATATTTAAAATAAACCATTAGGTAAGAATAATTAAATTTGAATGAGAGCTCCAACAACAACATCAATGTACAGTACTTAAAACGTTGGTAAAAATCGAAACGCAGTCTTGTTCAAAGAGAGATCGTAAATTTGCTAAAAAAAAAAAAATTATTTAAATATCGAAGACTTACTTCAACAACAGCAATAGCTCCAGAATTTCTGACTGAGAATCTTTCAGCTGCAATGCCACGGAAGAAAGCTTTACCAGATGTTGCACCGTACAGACAAACGTTTCCAACAATGACATTCTTCACTGAGTCAAAGGTTGAAGATTTGGGTGGATAAATAATCACTTCACCTCCTGACAGACCCTAAAAGACGACAGCAACAAAAATTTACCAATGTAACAGCAGGCTTTGATAGAAAAATTCGGCTGGTACTCATTTTTCCAGAGTGAACATTGCCAGGTTGACAAACATTCCGAATGGTGTGATTAATCCCTGCTCAATTTGCAAGGAACATTAATGAATTCAGATCTTTGAGATACAAATTTGCACTTGAGGCCCAATTTAAGCGCATGATTTCTGTTGTATGTTGCTTAGGAGCAAGAAATTAAGCAATTTTTGACCACACAGGAGAGAATGTAGGTGTTTCTGTGAGCAGCAAAAAACTGCCCCAGCAAAACTATCAATATAACTGTCAGTAAAGGTATTTCCAGAGAAATCTCAATCAATTGGACACTCTTAGGACAACCAATTTTATCTAACTTTAGAAATGAAGAAAAGTGTAAAAAAATAAATTAAAAAAAAATGAATTCGAAATGCAGATTGAACGAACAATAAGGTACAAAATATAGATCTGATGATTTTTTTCTTTTTTTTCCCCATTTACCGGATGAAAAATATGGTGAAAAGATGCTATAGCACAGGAGACAGCTCTAGTAAAATTGAATCTTACCTTGCCAACGTAATCATTAGCATCACCTTCAAGAGTTACATGAAGCCCTTTCGTCATAAATGCACAAAAACTCTGGCCTGCATGACCAGTGAGTTTAATGTTAATACTGTTCGGAGGTAATCCCTCTTCGCCATATTTCCTGTAAACAAATGAAACATTATTTTAATAAATAATAATTAAATTTAAATAATAAAAAGAAACGTAAGAGACTTGGATATTTTTCTTACACTAGTATACTTAATCAGCAAAAATATATTTGAATTGAGTTACTACGCTTGATTAATGAGCAATACAACTTAGATTAATGATAATTTTAACCAATGTTATTTGAAGTAGGAACACTTAATCAAAAATGACTAAATAGCATGGGCGAAACAGAGTTTTCCAATAGTTAACCAGCAAGACCAGCTAATACACTACTACCTAAAAGAGAGAAAGTTTAGATTTTATGCAGACTGACCTTACACATTATTGAAAAGTGTACTTCTAGAGATATATTAGGAGGTACTTACATGGAAATATGGTAGCTTAAAGTGCTTGTAAAAGCTCTGCACTCATTGTTTATAACCATTTCAATGTCCACTCGTTTTTCTTTCCCATCCAAAACCGGCTGCGCCCGTGCTATTAATTCATTGTCCAAACGTTTTTCCAACTGGAAGTCCTGTAGAACAAACAAAATACAAATTTAATTTTAATTTTGATAAGGTAAAAACTAAGGAAATAAGTATGTTGGAGTTATGCAAAGATAATATTTTTTTCTTTTTAAAAAAAAAAAAATATTACCCTTTTACAAGCTCTTACTTCATCCGTTACAAATTTTTAACGATGGGTCAGTGGCACCGCCCACTTTTTTAAATTCATTTTCTGAAAGTACAGAGTGAACTTAGCTTCTGGGAATTTTTCAGATTTTTTTTGAACCCTAAATGGCAAAGAAGTTTCGTTTTGAAAATACCAAAAATGGGACTCGTTTGGAAAGACATTTTTGGTGGGCACTGATGATGTAGCCAGGCGGGGAAAACAGCGTTTGCTGATTGACTGAACTCATCTTCAGGCACTGCCTTGTTGCGTCAACTCAACTGTCAGCTTTTAGTTTGTTGGATTTTCATTAGCTTTCCTTCCCTTAGAGATGATATTTTGACCTTTTACTTGAACTTTCTTGTTTTTTTTGGGGATTTTATTTGGGAAAACCTGCAAACCCCCCCCCCCCCCCCCTTGGCACTGACCAGTTGATTTTTTAATCTGATTGCGAAACACAATGCCAACAATCTCTGCATTAATTATTAATATGTCAACGATCATGGTGTCAACAGAAGCTTAGCATTCATCAACAACTGTTGATGCAATGCTCAGAAAAATCTTTGCTGACTTAACGCTCAAACAGATGCCTCTATGATGCCATGATGGTTAACACTGAACTGCACCATCTTCATTATCTCCAATTTAGAAATCAAACTGTTACCCTCAAAATTTGAAACTATAGAATTCAATGAGAAGATTAAGAAATCAGTATACCTGAGATTCAGATCCACCGACGATATTAACACCAGGTCTTAGATGAAGAGCGTTTTTCAAGATCAGACTGAGATTCAACAGCTTTGCTTTATTATTCACAACATTATCCGATGGACGCAAGAGATCTGTTCGACCTACTAGATCTTGGAATTTTCTTATGCCTAGATGGGCCATGTGAGTCCTTACCTAAAATACAAACGATGAATAGGAGATATCAGGAGAAAAATAAATAGGTAAGAGCAGAAAATACACAAATTTCATCAGGTTGGCACTTCCCACCACCAAGTGATGCTCTCGTGCACAGAAGTTACTATCAATTATAAAGCTATCTTGAGAGAAATTGCAAGCATTTAACTGAATGAACTAGTAGACAGGATACATATTCAGGCGTTCTGATATATGTTTTTTCTTCAATTCTTGACATAGAACTTAATTTGTCCGATGAAAATTACTGAAATTAACTCCTAACCAAGGTATTTTTATTTTTATTCAGCACTGGTTAGAAAAAGTTAGAGCTAGGCTCTTAAGAAAAACTATGAGTCAAATTGTGCACTAAAATGGTTTCGGCAGGCTTCTTAATCTAGCGACGTTTCTTCCCCATCCTGCGTTATTAAAAGTCTAAACAGCGTATTGCAGAGACTGTTATGGTAAAGTTTAGTGAGCCATTTCACTCAAGCAGTAGATTATGGTTTTTTTAAGTGCAATAAGTTTGAATTTTTGCATTGAGAAACGTTAGCATCTTGAATAGGAGTTATTTTCAATAATATTCTTCATGCAAATTGTGTAAAACGGTAAGTTTTGATGAGTTAATATACATTATAATGCTTAAATTCACACCTCATCCAGTGGTCAATTTGTTTTTGGAAAAAAATGGTACATCATTGTTTTTACTGAATCATTTATACATAAAATTTCATGAATTAACGAGGGATATTGCCTTGTGGTATACATTTACTGTACCGCGTAAATAAAAAAAAATTAAACAACTGATTACGAGCACCCTAAAACTGCTTATTTTTTGAGTAGCATAATGTTTAACGTTGACAAAAACATTTATACTCCTTTCCTATTTTTTCCGTCTGCAGGAATTAAAGTGGATTAACTGCCTAACTTACCTCTTCTGCCAACATGAACAAATAATTAATAACATGTTCTGGTTTTCCTGCAAATTTTTTGCGGAGTTCAGGATCTTGCGTGGCGATTCCAACTGGGCAAGTGTTCAGATGACACTTACGCATCATTGTACAGCCCATGACAATAAGTGGAGCTGTGCTGAGACCAAATTCATCTGCGCCCAACAGTGCAGCCACAACAACGTCAAAACCTAAAATGAAAAGAATGGACGATGATAAATGATCAGGTATATGAACTGGTATGGCCTATGTTTCAGGGTTAGAATAAAGTCTATAAAACAGTTATTGCAATTTGCTACGCGAAAAAAAAGTTGCTGAAGTAACATCCTGGATGTAAAAAGTCTGCGCGAGACCTCTTGAATGTTGTTACAGACACTCCAGCTGTTATTGTATCATCCTAGTTACATTGAATCAACAGTTATTCAATTGTTGCGTTCATATCAACATTTACCCCAGATATTTAACATCAGGAATGTTACTTCAGCAACTTTTTTTTTTCCGTGTTGGTATGAAGTTGTACAATTTTTAAAAACTCTAAAATTTCTTGACCTTTGTTATTAAGAATCTCACGACTTCATACTTTATTATGAAGATATTCCTTGACAATGAATTACTCTTTTTTAACATTATCATTGCAATTTGTCTTTACTATTACTGTACAGCTTACACTGGTATCAGTCTAAATACATTTTGTGTTGCCAAATTTCTCATTTTACTTTCTTAACTAAAATCAGGGCTCCGACACCTTGAAACTGTCAGTGAATTTGCCCTTCATACAAAACTTTAAAAATGTTGCCGAATTTTCTTCAGGAAAAAATCCAAAACTGAGAGATAATCAGGCAATGCATTTAGGTTATTTCTCCTTGAAACTGTCCAAATATTCGTTGAAAAACGAACACACAGCTTATTTCAAAATTTTAATCGAGGAGGGGATCTGAGAATGCAAATATGGTTGAAAAAAAGCGAAGTCATCATTTCTAATGACTTTCGTTGTGTCAAGCAGCTGTTTATTTTCTACTTTTATGGAAGAGAGGGGACATATGATTGGTTTTCAGCTCCCTTATAGCATTTCATTTTGAGAGAGAGGAAAGCATTTCAGCATGAAAAATAGCTTTACATACCAGTTCTGATTTGTCCGTCAGCTTGGACCACGACCCTGGAGCGGAGGTTGTTCAATACCAAGACCTGGTGTGTTTCAGCGATACCCAATTCCCATGGTAACCCAGCACTTTTGATTCCTGTCCAGCTGCTGGCACCAGTGCCTCCGTCATGACCAGAAATAACAATGTGCTCAGCTTTGCCCTAACAACGGAAAAGAGTCTCATTGCGATTAAAATGGTTTTAAAAATCCAAACAATATATGAGGGGCTTGGAGGATAAGGCCCATAAGTACAGTTTTTGCTATTTCGAGAAATACGTGCTTGAAGTTTTGAAATTATATAGATTCTTATGGTGGAAAGAAAGTTCAAACTGACTTTTTGATGCTTGAAAATTGGAATTTGGTTGCAAATTTTTCACAGGTTATGCAATAAGACTAGTTTTACTGGAAATCATTAATATATAAGTTTTTTCCAAAACTGCACTTAAGCGCCTTGTCCTCCAAGCCCCTCATACCATGTTTCAAACAGTGAGCCACCGTAAATTATGGTCAAAGACGACTCACGCTAAAAAAGAGACCAGAAGTAAAAACTTGAGCAATACAAACAAATATTACTTTGCAAGTTCAGAGAAGCCCCCCCTCTTCCCCTTCAAAAAAAGAAGAAAAGTTAAGTGAAAATATATTTTACATTCATGATTACAATTAATCAGGCTGTTTAAATTAATATTCATCGGTGCAATTACAAGGATTTTGCAATTTGTATAGGGAATATGCGCTTACTATGACAAGGCAATAAAAATCTGAATGTCAATTACCATAAAATTATGTTCCCGTGGGGAATTAAAGGGGAAAAAAATATTTTACTTGAAGATGGGATAAAAAATGGCAGTAAGAGTTCCTTACTTTTGCAACACCAGAGGCAACAACCCCTACGCCAACTTCAGAGACTAGTTTAACGGAAATTCGAGCATTAGGATTTGCACATTTGAGATCATAGATGAGTTCAGCTAAATCTTCAATTGAGTAGATATCGTGATGAGGCGGTGGAGAGATCAAACCAACTCCAGGAACTGAATGACGTGTCGCAGCAATATCCTTGGTAACCTGTTGGAAAAGGAGAATACAAACATTCATAAATTTCGGCTTATCAATACAGAATTCAGAAAAAAGTGATCAAATGTTGTGGAAGTTTGAATGGGAAGAAGGGCTTAGTTTGTATTTCATCTTGTTGATAGAAACAATACTCTATAAATCCAAATAAATAAATGTAGTCCGAAAATAGTCAAAATGCATGACTGTCGACACAAAAAAAAACTCAGTCTACAGGACTTAAAATTGAGTAATTGATACCAACGTATAGAAGGGTGTTCCACAACATTTTCACGCGAAAACGCCCAAAAATGTCACGCCAAACCAGTATTAAGGTAGTGTGAGTTCGTAGTTCAAAAAGTATAAATTTTAGAAAAAGCTACTTGAAATTCCTGTCTGACGGATGACGCAGAGTATGATCTCAACTGTGTGCAATTTATTTTTCAAGGCATACGTGAGATTTCTGTTGAAATCTCAGGATCTGATTTTTATACTCCATTAAAATCACCTTTACTCCTCACAGTCACATATTGAGAAAAACATTAAAATACAACTTTGATTAAACATTTTAGTGAAAGCTTGTTTAGATGGTTACGAAGGGAAAAAAGTAACTTCATTCTTTGGTATATTGCAAATGCTACATTAAATCCTAACATTTCAAACCAAAAACAAACCTTGTATCCAGGTAATTCACCTCCTTCCCCTGGCTTGGCTCCTTGTGCCATTTTAATCTGCAAGTCATCAGCATGAGCCAAATAGGAACTTGTAACACCAAATCGACCAGATGCAACCTGTTTAATTGCAGATCGGCGATTGTAATCAGGATCTTGATTTAAGTAACGGTCAGCATTCTCACCTGGAAAGGAATTTAGAAATAAAATAGATAAAATTAAAAAAAAAAAAAAAAAATACAGTCTAACCTCACAGAGTAGGAATACATCAGGACTAAGGGTTCATTCTGACTTAGTGGGGTTCCCAAGTTAAAAGAACTTCATATTGAAAAAACAAAAAACTGGACCACAGGAATCATATGTACCTTGTGTCCTCTATGATAGATAAAGTGATATTTTGATAGCATTCTTTTGCGCCCGTCGTAATTGTACAAAAATGGTAGAAACGAGAGAGAGAAAAAAAAGAGATTCCTTGAGATACACAATGCCAGTTGGCTTAGAATTTGAGGTATTGTCAATCATGAGCCTAGTGGGAGAGTAATAAGAGCTCGACAAAACTAAAAAAAGATGTTTGACTCAGGGAGGACTTTGACTCCCGTAGCATCCAACCTGAAGGAGGTTGATCGGATCAAAGAAATACAGGGTGAGCGAAAAGTACCCGACCCCCCCTCTAACTTTTGAACGAATTGAGCTAAGGAAATGAAACTTTGGGAATGTTCCTATCTCAAAGGGGACCATCTTTTGAGGGGGTCAAAATTTTGGTCCCCCCCTCAGGGGGGGACAGGGGCCCCCCAACTTTTTTTTTTCAAATAGCAACCCCTATCTTGTGATATCTCATTCGAAAGAGCATAAAAAACTAAGAATTTTGGCGCAAACCGCAGATCAATATCTCAATTTTTGACCGAGTTATGATAGGTCAAAGGTCAAATTTGACCCATTTTCAAAAAATCATAACTCCGGTTCAAATTATCGTAAAGAAAAAAATAAAACGGGAAAATTTACCAAATTGTGTTCGCTTTTACGTAAAAATTGCAGAAATCACTTCGATTTAATTTTAAGGGGGGGCTCGGACCCCCAAATACGTCAATTCAAAGGTCATTCAATTTTCCCACGAAATAAGCCAATTTCCTCTGGAATTGCCTCCACATTATCTCAGTAAGGTCAAAATCAGTTCAACATTACGTTGGCAAGTCCCCAAATTTCGGGAAAAGTTAAAAAAACGAAATTTAAACGGTCAAATTTAATCACCTTAAATTTCGTTTTTTTAACTTTTCCCGAAATTTGGGGACTTTCCAACGTAATGTTGAACTGATTTTGACCTTACTGAGATAATGTGGAGGCAAATCCAGAGGAAATTGGCTTATTTCGCGGGAAAATTGAATGACCTTTGAATTGACGTATTTGGGGGTCCGAGCCCCCCCTTAAAATTAAATCGAAGTGATTTCTGCAATTTTTACGTAAAAGCGAACACAATTTGGTAAATTTTCCCGTTTTATTTTTTTCTTTACGATAATTTGAACCGGAGTTATGATTTTTTGAAAATGGGTCAAATTTGACCTTTGACCTATCATAACTCGGTCAAAAATTGAGATATTGATCTGCGGTTTGCGCCAAAATTCTTAGTTTTTTATGCTCTTTCGAATGAGATATCACAAGATAGGGGTTGCTATTTGAAAAAAAAAAGTTGGGGGGCCCCTGTCCCCCCCTGAGGGGAGGACCAAAATTTTGACCCCCTCAAAAGATGGTCCCCTTTGAGGTAGGAACATTCCCAAAGTTTCATTTCCTTAGCTCAATTCGTTCAAAAGTTAGAGGGGGGGTCGGGGACTTTTCGCTCACCCTGTATTTTGAAAATACTGAAGAAACTTACCTCCTTCTCCGGTGTTCGATTTTCCACCCAATTTGTTCATGGCAACAGCTAGAGTTTGATGAGCTTCCAAAGAGATACTACCAAAACTCATTGCACCTAAAACAAAATTAATAAGTGCAAGGTTAAAAATTCACTCTGTCATAGTGAATTTTATTTTAATAGAGAGACCTCAGATAATGAGGTCTCTTCGTAAATATTCATAATTTCAAATAAATTCTGACAGAAAAAAAATTAAAATAAAATTAATAAAGATCAAAATTTATAATGATACCAAAAATTAGGAGTCAATAGATTAATCCCTCACCTTCATCACTTGACAAAATTTACTTTATAATCTCCCATTTAGATAAATCATTCATTTATTATTTTCAGATCTCTGAAATGATCAATTCAGAGTGAAAAATTTTGTCTTCCAAAACGAACTGAAGAATTCCAACTGAGCAAAATTAAAACTCCACTAAAGACAAATTTTTTTGTTCTCCGCCCTATTGTACTCAGATAAAACCTTGCTAAAAAAAATTTCAAGTGCATCTACAGGTTTACACCGTACTTTCACTGGGCATTTCACTAGGTTTTTGACATGGTTAAAAACATTTTGTACTACTAGCGGCTAGATGCCACTGGATATTATTATCATAAGGATACAAATTTAAACAAACAAGGTGGAAATTTAAAGTAATTAGCTTTCCAATTGCATTAAAATTACAATTACGATAAAAACCTACTTGCATTTCAATTAATAGCAATAAATATTAAAATTTGGTGAATCCCACACCGCTGGTTAAAATGCTGACGATTGAAATGAGACTGAAATGGACTAGTGATGAATGAAAGAAATCTAGATATCTCACCGGTAGCAAATCTCTTGACGATTTCTTTCGCTGGTTCGACTTCGGCTAAATCGATAGGGCTGTCATTTACTACTAATTCTAGTTGCCCGCGGATGGTACATGCTCTTACACTCTCCATGGTTGATTCACAGAACTTGGCATATGCATTTTTGCTGTTGCTTACAGATGCTTCCTGTGGAGATAATCAAAATATTTACATTAAAAAACTTAGTAGTTACTAATGCAAAGAATACAAGTAAAAGGGCCTCGACCCTTTATTATCCAAGTTTTATCAAAACACAAAAAAAGGTCTATCATTAAGAAAATACGTTTCGATCTGTAAACTAGTGCGAACATAGAACTTTACCATGAAGTTAAATTTCAAAAAGAAGAGGAGATTGTGGGGGAAGTGCGTGCAAAGAGAAATAGGGAAAAATTCTTTGGTCATACACCAACTATGAAAACCAATTAGAACAATAAAAAAAAATTCAAAATGAGACTTTGAGTATTTGAGAGATTGAAAAATGGTGATATACTTCTGATAAAATTGACAAGAATCAACCACTTTTTGTTGCATCAAATTTATAAGTGGGTCTAGAGAGGACACGGAAGGGACGGACCCCCTCTCTCCTATTCACCCGAAAAAGAGGAGGAAAAAAAGGGAGGAAATAAAAGAAGAAAGAGTGGAAGAAAGAAAAAGGGATGCTTATTTGGTAATTATTCATAACAAAACTAGCCCAATCTGCACATCAGATGTTTTAAAATTTAGAAAATTCTATACGAGAGGCCTTCTAGATGCCCCCTTCCTCGCGTTTGAAGTGTCGGAATCCGCTTATGATCAAATTTACAGCTATTAAAATGAGATGAGATCAAGTAATAGGAAAGTTCTGAAATTAATTAAGCTGAGTATACTTTAACTTGAAAATGTTGAGATTCATTAAGAAAATTTCTGTCCATCTTACCTGCAAATTAGCAATGCTGAGAGGATCATTGATATGCTTTTCTCCTCCACTTCGCCAATGGAATGTACCTGGATTCCTGAGTACGAGCATATCAGTAGTCCTTTCAGAATAAGAGAGGAAATGCCGATCATAAGCTTCTTGAGCCAGGACTTCAAATGTAACACCTCCAATACGTGAGTGGGTACCCTGGAAAAATAAATCAGCATGAGCCCTGTACAATGTAAATTATGATTAAGAAAAAAAAGAGAAATGAAAAATAGGAGGAATGCGGATAATAGAAATAATTAATTTGAAGGATGTCTATAAGACAAATTGCTCCCCAATCCAAAAAAAAAAAATTCTCATCGTTTCATTATCCATTAAAATGAATCAACACTTGTGAATCTCTAAGCTTCAGCAGAGTGTCTAGTCGTTTTTCATTTTAGGAAATCCTGGAGAAATCCTGATTTTTCCTGATTTTTGACTGCTAAATCCTGATCTCATAAGTTTTTCAAATCCTGAGTTTTTGCGAAGAAAAATTAAAACTGCATAAGCGTATGCGAACGCAGAACTCTAAAATTAAGTTCTAAAGATTAAAAACGAGTGTGAATCAATGAAAATGTTAATACACGCTAATGAACCGGATTGAACCGATCGGCCGGCCGACTTTTCTCAAATCCTGATTTTACAGCCGATTTTTCCTCAAATCCTGATGAAATCGGGATTAAAGCTTGATGGAATCCGAAAAACCAGGAAAATTCTGATGCTAGACACCCTGTTTAAGTAGGATACTTGCAAAACACTCAGCATTTACACTTTTCTAAGAAAAAGATATGAAAGAAATTGATCAATCAAAACTCAAATTGAAAATTAAATCATTAAAAGCTATTTCTGGAATTTCTGGCGAGTCTCCAGACTATTTCTGATATCCAAACGATGAGATTTTTGCTTAAGTCTCCTGACCAAGAACGTTTTCAAGATGCCGAAAAAAGTTAGGGATGATTCAAACTTACCCTGAAGCACTTGTCAATAACTTCATCAGAGAGACCAACAGCTTCAAAAATTTGGGCTCCTTTGTACGATTGCAAGGTGGAAATTCCCATTTTGGCCATCACTTTGGCAATGCCACGTTCCATGGCATCCGAATAGTTCTGGAAACAAAAAAACAGTGAGTGATGAAGCGATCACATAGAAAATTGCAGAAATCAATGGATGAACTAAAACGATGAAAGCCTGATAAGTCAAATGATCTTTTAGTTAAAGATTTGTTTGATTTAGCTTCAGTTTCAGGACATTCCGTCAACAATTTTTTGTCCAGTAGTTTGCGTCGATGTGTAAAATAAGCAACAGTGACTTGCTCCAATCAATATATTTTTACTTTTTCCTTTTGATTCATCTTTGCAAATTGTCATTTGTGAAAATTTGGTTTTATTTCTATCCTTAAAATTTTTGATATAAAATATACCTTGTATGTACCTTTTTTTTTAATAGTCAGGGAGAAATACGGTTTGACCCGGAACAAATTGCATAACAATTTTTTCCTATGTAAACGTCATCAGTAGGTTCTCCTGAACAACGTACAAAAAGTTTACCACGGTCCGACCCCGGAACACCCCCCCCAAAATGACGAAAATTCAAAATGAGGGCCATAATAAGGGCCTATGGGATTTCGATATTTTAAAATGTTCCTATAGTGTCATGCAAGGTATCATTTTCTATGTAATTTTGGTCTCAGATTTCATTTCTGAAGTCCGAAAAGCTCCTAGGTCAAAGGGAGTGACCCAAATCCAAGATGGCGGCCAAATTTGAAAGGCAATAGGGTCATTTTTCAACTTTTACGTAATTGGGCAAGTGAGGTGTTGTTCCCTGTGTAATTTTGGTCGTAAAACTTCCGATTGAAATCATGAAGGCAACAGGATTACTTACCTCGTACAAAACTTTATCTGTGAAAGTACTATCCAAAACACCCTCTGCTCGTAAGCTCTTGGCCATCTCAAAGACAAGGTAAGGACAAATAGCATCAGCGCCATAACCCAGAAGGACACACATATGATGAACCTCTCTGAAGACAAAAAAAATCAGTCCCAAAAAAATTAGTTCACAAGAAAAAGAGGGACAAACAGACCATTAGAACTTCATTTTGAAATATATTCACATACAGTTTCCACAGTTAGGGGTGTTCAAAAGAATTCTTGAAGGTAGGCTATGGCTACCATTTTAAACAGATACCGCTAAGAGCTCCTATTGAGGTTATGCTATCGGAAACAGCTGGCTTTATCAGAGTTGCAAGAGCTCTCGTTAAATGCATTGTTGCCCCATATGTCAGTCTTTGGATTGTACTGCGCAAAGGCACGCAAAATACATATACACATAACAACAGCTTAATTTCATCACCTCCGATTGCTATCGGTAAGAGAACTCTTATTGTTACTCTTTCTTAACAGAAGTGGTTCAGAGGCTCACCTAAAACCGATAAGACAAACTCAATCGTGGTTCGCTATTTAGGCATATTTATGCTAAGAGGAACTAGGTGCGTAGGGTTTGCATGAAGCAACCCCTTTAAGCAACCCTTTTAAGTTTGTTCCTTCTTCAGGAATGTCTATACACTGATTCCTTGTTCAAAATGATTGTGTATGTTTGACTTATGCCATAGCTACAGAGAATAGCTTTCATGCGTGGTCTTGTAAAGGCCTCGATAGACGATCAAATTCCCGAACCAATTCTGATCAAAGTAGCATCAAAGTGTCGGGAGTCATCAGTCTTAAACTCATTAATTTGCTTCATTTTAAAATGAAAACTTGGCAGAAATTTTTCCTGTGGCAGAAAATGATGAATGGTGGCACTCCGTTCTGATCTTACTTTGAACAAAAAAGTGCAGCCCGTCAAAATTTGATGGTAGATGGTGACCACTAGCCATCAGCATGTCTACTTTGATCGGAATTGGTTCGGAATTTGATCGTCTATGCAGGGCTTAAGGTATGATAACACAAATCTGATCGTAGGTAACTTTCTACTTTTATGGTGATAAAGGATGACACCTATAAGTTACAATTTACACTGGTGAATGGATGCTATTATGATGATGAGTATGTACTAATATTATTGACTGAAAAGCTCTGTTTCCTAAATTTTAACAGTTGACGATTTGAACAAAGGTCCTTGAAAACGTCAAAATCAATATAATTCAATACCTGGCTTCGCCTGTTTCCAGAATGAGCCCAACTTTCATCCTTTGCCTTTCCTCGATCAAATGATGATGCGTTGCACCAAGAGCAAGGAGCATACTCACTGGAATTCTGGAAGACAAAACAGCAGCATTAGTACGAAGAGATCATCGAATAAAAATTATTGGCGGCTTCTTAGACAAAAGAGATTCATAAGGGAGGATCCGATAATTGCTGAAAAACTCTATCATAGACATAAGTACTCAAAAATGAAAGCGAGCTAAAAAAATAGAGGAAAAATAGAAGAGAGGTTTGACTAATTACAAATCAAACAATCTTTAGATGGGTTTAAACATTAAAAATCGATAAGTGTAAAGAATTATAAACAGTAATTATTTGTGCCTACCTGTTTGCTCCAGCTTTGGCATCAGATAAAATAATTAATTGAAATCCACTTTGGGCAGCAGCGCAAGCCTCCTCACAAATCCTATTTAACGCTTTAATAAACCCTGGAGGTCCTTCACCCTTGTCAAAAGTTACATCAATCACATGCGTCTGTAATATAAAAAGAGCACGATGAAGGATTAATCACAATCGATAAAAAATCATGAAAAATCCAGCATGCATACAGTTCTTTTTTGAACAAAAAAATTGGGCTGTCTGAATGAAAACTGAGTAAAAAGAATGAATTCTTGCACTGTTATGAGGATATGAATATTAGAAGAGTGAAACGCTACCTCCCCGTTGTGTGAATAGGTTTTTGAGTAAGATTGTGAGGAGAAAACATGTGGATCACACAGAAAACACTTCTGGATCAGCAGCCGGATTGTTGAAACTTTAACTGGCTATGTCGGCACGATGAGACAAGACATAGCCCTATCTGCGCCAAGTAATATATCGATTTTCGATTCTTGTCATGCCAACATAAATTTCAACAATCGAGCTGCAGACCTTGTCTAGTCACCCATTATCATGTTCAAGTTTTACTTACAAATCTTCAGGCAACAGAAAGGCAACTTGAAGCAACAGAAACTAAAGATGATTTCTGAGAAAAAATAAAGTTGAACTGAGTTGAGAAATAACATTTTGAAGTTGGAATGAGAAAAAAAAAAGTACTGACATAAGCAGGATTATGAGATAGGAGATTCCAAGTTATCCAGACTTCTGTTGCCTCATTTACATTAGCAGAAAACAGAATCAACAGATCAAAAGGAACTGCAGTGACTTAGGCAAATTCCCAACTTAAATAGGTACTTGATTGAAGAAGTTTCAATACTTTGAAGATAAGAGTTTAACTAACCTTCCAGCCACGATGAACATTATTTTTTAACACTTCCAGATCCAGAAGGGAGACGATTGGATGCGGCAAAATGATTCTATGGCATTGCTTTGGACTTGGGACCAAAATATTAGCTTCAGGACCAATCGGACACATCAGTGACATCACAACTTTTTCTCTGAATGGATCGATGGGTGGATTTGTAACCTAATAGAATAAATCAAAGGACAATATGTTGATTTCTCATTTTCTTAAAGGTAGAGCCAGTTTCAGATAACTTTGCCCTTTTTGCTGTATGCGTGGAATAGGAGATGCCCTAAACCTTGTGTACAGCAAAAGAGGCACAGTTACCTGAATTGGGCTTTGCACAGTTCGACTTGGGATTTAAGAGAAAAAGAGTCCAGCATTAATGCTTGCTAATAAATTTTTGTCACACTAAAAGAGCTACTACTTAAAATTTCAAGTAATGAAGTTGAGCTATCTTCCAGAAAAATGTAGCGATGATAGACATTGAATAGGAATTTTGAAACCTTGCAATGCAATGCGTATCCATTTAAAACTATCCAACTGAAAAATGCAACTGCAACTTACAAATGTAACTGCTCATGATTAAAATTGAGGAGCTTTTTAATAGTCCATCATGAGCATCTCTTGAAGACTAAAAATTCTCAAATAAATATGAGGGGTATTAGAGATGAAGGAAGAGAGTAACATTTCTCAAAAAAATTGAGATGTGACATACTTCAGGTAAACTTGTCCTGAGAGAATGAAACATCAGAGCTCATGTGGTTACACTCGTATCCTTCCATGTATTTTTTTGGTTTAAACTCGGATGATATTTTCTGTGTAATTACAAAATGTGACTCACTCTTTCATCCCTAGGTAATACCCTGCATTCATGCAGCGTAATCTTTTTCCTACTTATAATAGAATGAGTTGACCATTGAGGATTTCACTGAAAATGCTGGAGCTGAGGGTACATCAACTTTGAATTTCAGGATGTCTTTCCTCTTGCCCTCTGATGGATTGAATAACATTTAGGATTGGAAAAGACAGTAAGGAGTGTTTAAAGATTGAAAGAGGCAATTTCACTATGATAAATACATTGAGTAAGGTAGAGAAACTTTAGGTCTTTTGAGTACCTGAGCAAATAACTGCTTGAAATAGTCATAGAGTAACGGCTGGAACTCAGAGAAGCAAGCTAACGGGGCATCATTTCCCATTGATCCCAATGCTTCTTTCCTGAACAAAAATGAAAAACAAGAATGAATATTAAATTGAGGCTCAGCACTAAAACAATGGAGATTACAACTATCTAGAAAATTCATTCTGTTGACAGATTGAAAATGTGCAGCAATGCGAGCCAATCCAGAATTCAATAAATAATTAAACCTTATTTAACATTAGTGGATGGAAATTTTGTAGAATCTTGCGGTAAAATCGATAAATTTAAAAACTAATTTAGTTTCATTATTATAATTTTGAAAATTATTTTATATGCTTGGTGTCGTTAAAAAATCGTTAAAATTGTTGAGATTCAATAGAAAAGACCACATTGCATTACTTTGATTACTTTGACATTTACTTTGACATACTTTGCATTGTTTTTAAATAAAAACTCGACAGAAATGTTGTGCCTGGCAAAAAATTATGTTTACACTGACCAACAGTCATCAATTGGTCTATTTTGATCAGAGTTGGTTCAGAATTTGACTGTCTGTGGAGGCCTTAATGCATGCGTTGCATGATCCGATTCGTCTCTTGTTTGTCTTGACTGATGGATACCAACATTTCTTGCTTTTTGTACGCCTGAGTTTTTCTCATATCTCCTCATAAGAATTCTTCTCATATCTACCTTTCTGCGAATACTATTAACATCCACAATCAACCTGAAAGTTGGTGCTATAACTCTTGCAATTGTATATTGGTTTTAGACTATAATTTCTAATTTGCACCCTTTAACTTTGCGGCAATCTTAGAATAGTTCATTAGAGATGATGACCACTACTTACTTGGTTCTGATCATTGGAAGAATCAGCATGTTGATAGTTTCAATAGAATAGCTGAACAGTGATAATCGCCTATCTCCACCCCAAATACGGGTCATTTCTTCACCGGGCAGATTGTCCCTCAGCGTCTTTTTGGCATCACCACTCTCGAATTCTATGGATTTCTCTTTGACGAGACCAACAGCTCTAGCAGAAGCCTCTTTGCGTAAATCTTCCATGGTGATCTGGAATTGACAAAAATTTAGAATAAATATAAAGGTTAGAACTTAACATGAACTTCAAGTTCAGCATTGAAAATTTGGTAAATGCTGGGAGTGTTCACGCTGTAAAATGAGATGATAGATTCCAAATGCCTCCTCGAAAGGTATGATGAAATTCTGAACACGAAGAATTGACTGTTGTTTCTTTGCAAACTGACCAGTTTAAAATATTCATTACAATAAAACAAGAGCAGGACCAGGAAACAAAAAATCCAACGAGACGTAAATTACCAGGATATCATTAGAAATCAAAAACTAAAGATAAAAACAATGAGAGAAGCCTCACACTGAAAAGTTTTTATCCTATACATATTTCAGAACTAACAATGAAGATGAAATCAGAGTGCATCACTCATCTTTTATCATCTTTGTAAAATGGATAAAAGAAGAAAAAAAATTTAATTAAACCAAATTTGAATAAACGGCAAATTTTTTTAAGTTCAAATAGGTCTATCTACATTGACATCATGCTTGAATGGAAGCCTCTGTGATATTATCAACTAGTTGAAAAGGCCAAATTTAACAAAGACCCTCGGAAAAATCACAAAAATTTCTAAATCCAGATAAGTGCGGATAATAATGAGTGACATAAGCATATTTCTGTTCTATCAAATTAAGCCGAAGAACATATGTTGGTGGCTCATAGATAAAAAAAAAAAAAACTTTACTTGCGCTAAAAATTTAAAAAAATAAAAAAAAAAACTGCAAATGCATGCATTGGGTATGTACAGTTAATTTATTTGTGATTATAGTTAATATGAATAGTTAATTGAATGTCATTTATTTACTATTATTGTGAAAACACTATGTGTTCGTCCATATGAAAATGGATTTTCTTAAATAGGTTCAAATTTTTCGAGAGAAGTTTCTTTGAGAAGCTGGTTACAACAATCAAACATTGATTTTTCAAGGGAAAAGACTATCTGATATCTTAAATAATAAGTGGTTTGTTTATTCCAACATAATTAGAATTAGAATTCAGCATGCGGGGTTGGGTCTTCATCTGTTACCATATAACTTTTAGTAATAGAAACAAGTTAAACTGTGCAGAATCATGACGCTCTCATGGAACAATTTGCCAATATCTTTTTAGGATTTCACAAGATCATATTTACACACACAGCCATATTTACAGTGACAGCTTTAAAGAGCTCAGATTCGCATCATATGAGCAGTGCAGCAAAGTCAGCTATGAGGAAAAATGGACAGTCGACTGTTATCATAGTTAATTCATTATTTTAGTCATGACAGAGAAAATCAATGAAACAATGAAACTCAAACTTGTTAAAAATCAAACAAGCAAATGTAATCAGGTGCATACAAAATGTTTAAAATTAATAAAGGGGTCCAGTATACTGATGATAAATTTACACTCCGCATGGCCCAAAATTTATTGGCAGTGAACTTTTCCACAGCTTTTTTCTTGAAAATAGTGTGATATTTTCCGAGTAGACCTCATAATTAATCACTGGCTAATAGTTTACATATTTGAGGATCTACAGATACTTTGAACAGCCTTGAAAAAAGGTTAACTCCAGCAGCTTAAGCTAAGAATAAAATGTACACAACAGCCACCTAAATTTAGGGGTCATGTTGATCTAACTTGTGGTTGAACGCAGCCAAAAAACTTGGGTTTTTTCACAAAAATATGATGCAAAAAAAAAAAACAAACGAAATGATTCAAATACAAATCACAACAACAGGATGATGCAGGACAACACTAAATTCAACCAAAAGTCATTCATTGACATCATATTTTTTTGACTCACCAACTAAACGCATCGATTGAAAAGCACCGCATAAAACAGAGCAAAAATAAAATTACTTCCAGGAAAATTTAGTGATGCTAAAAATTGAATGATTCTACAAAACTGACAGTTTGACTTCTTTGGAAGGAAAAAAAATGTTGAGTTTCGAAATAGTTTTTCACTCTAGAGAAAAAAAACCTGGAATTGGAGGAGACCCAGCTTTCTCTCTCTTCCAGATTGTGAGCGAAGAGAGAGTTGAGTCCATGATAGTAAACTTAGGTCTAAATTTGAACTGATGCAAAAACAAAAGCATCAATTTGTTTTTTTGTCAAAAATAAAAAATGAATAGAGGATACTTTTCTTTAAATTTGGAGCCTTCATAAAAATGTGACATGGGCAAAAAATTAAATTTTCCCATTGTTTTGAAATGAAAATTAGTTTAAATTCTTGACATTTGAAAGTTGTGCGAGAACCACAATGAATTTTTATTTTCTCTCATGAATGGGTATTGATAATAATTATGAATCACTTTATTAATAGTAGGATACTAAAGTAAATCACAGTAGTTTTCAATTTTGTGTTGCGGACTAAATCTTCTCCTTAGAAGAAAAGAGCTTCTCAACATTAACCCAGTCCTTCCAGAACTGAAAAAACCGTGCTCTACATATTGAATGCAATGTAACTTAACAAGGCCACTCTCTGGAAGTTTCCTGCGATACAAGCTGCTGAATAATGTAGGTTGCTGAACAAATCTTGAAAACTGGATGGCAAAACCCGTATGAGGCAACCGATGACCTCCATGATAGTTAACATGTTAACATGTTGACATGAAAGAAAAACCTTCACTCTGTTCCATTTCAGAGCGCCCCTGGTTACCTGGCAGTTTCCGCACACGGTTGCGACCCTGCAAACATCCCTGATTGTTGGCCAGGGAACGGAAAATGCCACTGCTTTTGTTCCTCTTCAAGCCGTGAAGACTTTTCCGTAGACCCTCTTCTGTTCTTTAAGAGTTGATAATTCAGAGTATTGCTGATTTCACCTTAGAATGAATTTTTAAGTGAGATTCTGAAGAAGAGGATCTTTAAAAATCCAATATTGAAGAATTTAAACGAATTCTGACTGGTGTGCTTCCTAATCCCATGAGTTTCTGATGGAGTCCAGATTTGTTGAAATATTTCAATTTGGTTTCTCAAAGATATTCCCTGACAAAATTTCACTCTTAACCTAATGCCAAGGTGAAATCAACCAGATTCTGGGAACTTCAAAATTTTACAGTTTTTGCCAAAAAAAGGGCCCATCAGTCTCAGCCTTTATCTGCATTGCTAAATGCTTTGCCCTGCTTGTCATTTGTGCTGTTAACTCATAACTACGCATCATTTTTCAGGGACGTTCCAAAATCGAACGGAGTATATTTTTTGAAAGCAAGAGAGGAGAAGACAACAGACACAAAAACTGTGAAAAAAGTCTGAATCCAGGATAGTTAACTTATGGATAAACTGGCAGCAAAAATTACCTGTTCTTTCAACCAGTCGGAATGAGGTCTATTCCTGGCAATCTGCAGTTTTAGTTCTACATCCTGAATGACAGTTTTTTCCTGAGTGTCTACCAATAACATGCGACCAGGTTTTAAACGACTCTGAAAAATATCAAAATGTATTCAATAAATTTAAAAATACATATCAATATATTTTCAATGAAAGATTAGAAAAGTTTTTTGTTAATATGTTTCCTTGGTGAAGGGAGCAATAATACAACCAATTGTCAGATACAGGTGGCAAAGAGGAGGTCAATGGGCTTAACAAGTCTTTTGACCTTCCTGAGTGGCAATCATAGCTTTAAACAAACATCTGCACAGCGCAGTTGCGAATGAATCGATATTTTTCTTAGGGGCCCATGCGCCAAAATCCAAGTATTCAGAAAAATGGGGAAATCTGTGCCATTCAGCTTGCGGTCAATCTCTTCAGCCCAAAAATTGTGTCGGTTTGAGGAATATCTATTAAAAACTGAGTTCCAAATATTATATGCATGCCGAATGGCAACATTATCTCCAATTTTCTTAAGACTTGAATTTTTTCGCTTCGGTTCTTTAGAAAATATCAATTATGTTCCTCATAAAGTTAATGTAACTAGATTAAAAAAACAAATCTTTCTCGGGATAATTATGTTTAGACTGTTCTTTTCTCTCTACCATGCAAATTTTCAGTTTTATACTCAATTGAGGTTTTAACTATTTTCCAATTAACCACTAACAGCTATTGCTGTTATAACATCTTTCTATCAAGCTAAAAGTGACAAATGAAAAGTTAATTATAAGAGAAACTTCATGGAGACAGATTGACACTTTAAGAAACTAATGGTCTCGTACCTTCAATTCAACATTTGCAGGGTCCGTATCATAAACACCGACTTCTGAAGCCATGACCATAATGTTATCTTTCAAAACGTAAAAACGAGATGGACGCAAACCGTTCCTGTAAAGTTAAGCAAAACCTTGATCAATTGAGCTATGAATGCATACAAAATTGAAAAAGCAATAGTGTTCTTACGGGTTTTCATGAATTTTCAGTTTTCTCTTTTGATGAATAGAAAAGTCCATACAACTCTCAGCATTATGATCCTACTTCACTTTCAGCCTTTAAAAAAGTACTGAATACTTCCCTCATCGTTAGATTTCAGGGATTGGGAGTTATCCTTCCTGCACAATTAGCTGCTACTTTTGAATGTTACCATCCTGAATTCCAATGAAAGTAAGATAGTTGCGCAAAGACCATTCTTATTCAGTTGTGCTCAAGGTGTGCCCTCAAGAGAATTTGAAAAATGCTAATCAGCGATCATCGTTTCCACCACCTGGCTGAGTCATCAGGGCATGCCAAAAATATTGTTATGAACGGATTTCATTTCTGGAATTTTCAAACAGGGTTTCTTTGCCAATGTTGAAAAAATATTAAAAAATTCCCAGAAACTGAATGCGCTCCATACTTTCAGAAGATAAATTTAAAAAAATGGGTGCCTTTGACCCACTTGCAAAAATTAGTTTACCTGTCTAGAATGGCTCCAACGTAACGACCATCGGTGAATGTCAAGAGAGCCGGACCATCCCATGGCTCCATGGCGCAAGCAGCCCAGTGGTAGAAGTCCCTTTTTTCTTTTGGCATTGTCGCATCATTTTGCCATGCCTCAGGTACCATTGTCATCACAGCCTGGATTTGAAGTTATTAATTAGGTTTTGGTCCAATCATATATGGCGCTTTTACATATAAAAGCTTCCTCTTTTTCATAACGAAATCAGTTTTACACTTTATGTTACCGTGGTTGTAAAAACTGCTTCACCTCACAACCAGGCGGGTCGCCATTGATTGCATGCAAAAATGGGAAGATCCTGAGAACAGTTTTTAGAAATGGGAAGGCCAGCAAAAATACAGGTTTCTTTTACTTTTTTTTTTAAAAAAAAATTGTGATGAAAATTGCAGAAATTTTACAGCAAAAAGGTAAAACTTATACACTTCTTGCAAAATTGTGGCACTTTTTACAGAGTCATAACAAGGTCATACCTTTTTGAAATGTTTGAAGAAAAATAAGGCCATTTAGAAAATTAGGAAGGCTGAGAACTTCCAAGATCCTGTAAGTTACCTTGACCATTCTTTTTTTATTGATGTGCGTGATCGTCAATAAAACGTTCATATATTTTCATGCATATTCACTAATGCATTTCCCCTGCGAAATAATGTGGACCCAGCACCATTTCTTCACCTTGTTACATATTCACAAAGCTGTCAAAACTATGCAAGTGTGTTTTAGTAGAACTGGTAGAAGTACATTAGGAACAATTTTAGTGAACTGAGTAAATCAAGTGCAAACGTCAATGAAGCGAGGTAATTTCAATCTATCGATTTCTTGAAAACAACTCTTTTTTATTCTGATCATCTTATTTTTTGGGGATGTGTTAAGGACCCATTAGGAAAAAACCTGCTCTTGAATACTGAGGTATTGAAGCTTCATAATCATTTTTCCAAGACGTGCCACTTTCGATTAAAGCTTCCAAGCAAAACAACGATGATTACCTCTGGCAGAGAGCGTCCACCAGCATGCACTAGGAACTCAAGTACACAATCAGCAGAACCAGAATCAGAGAGGTTAGGCTCCACAACAGGATACAGTTGTTTCAAATCGGTGAAATAAGGACTTTTCATCACTCCTTCACGAGCTTTCATGAAATTGACATTCCCTCGAAGCGTGTTAATTTCACCATTGTGAGCAAGACACCTGTCAATAATAACAACAAAATTATTCAGAATGGTTTTTCTTTCTCTGCTAGCTGGTTTTAAAAAGACCATCTTCTTAAATTAGAAGCTAATTCCATGCGCTGTGAATGAAAACTGAAGATGAGGACACTGTTGTCTTTCCAGTTATTTCACGAAAAGTAAACAAGTTGGATTTTGCAATCGCTAGCGATAGCAATATTCGTCATGGGAACGTTAGCTTCTGGGATATGAAAATGTTAAGGTACAGTTCGTTTGTAGTATCTTCTGAATTGAAGGGGCTATGTAATTTTGTGTTGACATCTCTTTTTTAACATTTTTAATTATTTTCTTTGCATACAAGAAAGCTGTTAGGTACCAATTATTTATTTTCGTTGGATTATATATGGTTTTCGGAAGTTAACGCATTTAAGTTTCAGGCTCGCTGTTTCGACGTAAAGTATACGTAAGGTGTCCCAAAAGCACCGGGACTTGTTCTGTAACTTCGAAAGTAAGATAGATACAGACATGATCTTGATCTCATTTTAAAGATCAACTCAATACCTATCGATTAAAACCAAGATCAGCTCAATCGAATAAAAATTGACCGAGTTATGGCAATTTGAAATCAGCGTGGAAAGTTTACGCCTACGGTTTTTAAGGAAGATTCTTCATCGCCGTAAATCGAAAAGTCGGCCGATAAAGTGATGCTTATTGTGTTTTTTTATTTTCGAGGTGTCATTTATCAACATTTTGTACCATCAAACGCAACAGTTGACAGTGCGTATTATTGCAAAGTACTAAAGGAGTTGAGAATGCACATTTCCCGGAAACGATCGGACTTGAAAGCTTCGTGGATACTCCATCAAGACAATGCGCGGCCTCACACATCGAGCTTAACACGTGAATTTATGAGTAAAAATGGAGTTGAAACAATCCCTCATCCCCCTAATAGCGCTGACTTGGCTCCATGTGATTTTTGGATGTTTCCCACGCTTAAAAAGGAGCTTTGCGGACGAAGATTCGTATCGAAGACCGAAATCCAGAATGCAATTCAAAACTTCTTCAACTCCATCCCAGAGGAAGAATTCAGGAAAACAATGTTGGATAAGTGGCAAGAGCGCATGAAAAAGTGCATCCGGTTTGATGGACGGTACTTTGAAAAGCAAAAGGAAGTTATGGAAGATTCGGAGGAAAGTGGATACGAATATTAACTTTTTGAATCCTGGTAAGCGAAAAATCTTCCTAAAAACCGTAGGAGTAAACTTTCTTCACTAATTTCAAATTGTCATAACTCTGTCAATTTTTATTTGATTGAGCTGATCTTGGTTTTAATCGATAGGTATTGAGTTGATCTTTAAAATGAGACCAAAATCATGTCTGCATCTATTTTACTTTTGAAGTTACAGAACCAGTCCCGGTACTTTTGGGACACCCTACGTATGATATTTTTACTCTACACATATGCCCGAATACGCATCATAAGGGACCTATGTGCTTCCTAAGTTGCCAAGTATTAATTATTGTTAGATTATTGGTCTAAAACATTCAATACAACCAGTAAAAATTAGCTGTCCCCTACGAGATTCGAACCCCCGCTCCCACAAAAAGTGACACTTTCCCAGAGTCAGAACGGTGTTGTAGTTAACTGAGCTATCTCGCCGCTCGGTTACGGGAAGAGAAAAAGAGAACAGTTAAGTGATCTCGGACGCTGAGCGGGGCTTCACAAAAGACGTCCTTGAGATTTCAACTGTTCGGCCACTGGCGGGATAAGAGACAACGAATCAAGCGCATTACTCTGTGAGACATTGTTTACCTATGCTGTCATGTGTCACAAGGTTCATCTCAGTATGCATTTGCGATCGCGGCAGTAAGCTGAGGCAATATTTCTGTATTCATGGATTAAATCCATCATTCGAGTTCTGATTTTGGCTCATATATCCGTAACGGGTCCTCCAGAGCAATTTTCCACCTTGTACGATGGTTATTATTTCTTTACATCTATGTTTAAAATTTGAGGTGGGATAATGGCGGCTTCTCAAGAGCAACGAGGTAGGCGATCTTTTGCACCAACGAACAGAAAACTGATGGCGAAAAATAACCAATCAGAACCTCTCAAAAAAAAGAATTTGCCCAAAATCGGAACTTCGTGGTTCTGCGCAGATTTACCAGTCAGACACGACATCTCAAGGTGGAAAAAAACTCGCTGAAAGCGAATTTTAGAAATCAACACAACTTGACGTAGCGACATGATTGGCTAAAAAATACAACGGTTTTTGATACATCGGAAAATCAACCAAAAATCGAAGACTGGGCGAAACGCTCAAGGTCGCAGAGGCATAGGGAATCCCATAGCGATAGCAACGGAACGATTGTAATATCATGGGGAACTCCGTTCCCATGACAAAATGGTTTTATAAAATACAGAGCTAAGCAAAGTTGACAACAATATCAACAATAGCATGATTCTATCCTAGTTGACCAAACTGTGAGACGCACTGTGAAAGTTTAGGTCTACATAAAAGCCTTTGTGGCAAAAAATGTATCATAAATTTTTAGACTGACTATGATATGGGCTTAAACATGACAATGAAGAAATTGTAAAGCATCTACTTAAAAGGTAATTTTTTGGCAAATACACATAATAAAATTAGCATTGCTATCAGGTATTATTTTGTTGCATTCTTTAACACTTTAGATCTAGATTTTGAAAAAATGGTCTGGGGATTGGGGAGGTGCCCTTTAGTGGAGAGTTTTAGTAATTTTAAACCATTACAATTGCCTTGGAAGAAATATTGAACAGAACTAATCTGACTGATTCCCCCCCCCCCCCNGATTTTTAATGGCGTTATTTTTCACAGGAGGATAGTATCATGACTTCTGGACATTTTCAGGTGGATCTAGAAAAGTCACCATAATGGTAGGAGAAGGAATCTAGGTTTTCAATCTCACCTGAGAGGATGTGCTCTTTCCCAACTGGGGAATGTATTCGTTGAGAATCTTGTGTGAACTAGCGCTAAATATGTATCAAAATCCGGGCACTGTAAAATGAAACAGCATTATGCTAAATAAACATTAACAATTAATAAATATAAAAAAGCTAATTAATTTCTGTCTAAAACCATTGACTTTTAAATTTTTTTAGCTTTAAAAAAGAAAAAACAATCAAGATATTATTGGAAAATTTCCTTCATAACTTAGGACTCTTAATTACTGCAAAATACAGACATGAAACTCAAATAAGCAAAGTTACAACGATCATCTTCAACTCATCTTCAGTGGCTTGAAGTAGCATCTTCAAGTCCTAAAGGTGTGCATCAATTGTGTGTTTTATAAATTTCATGAATCATTCTTTAATCAGTGAGTTTTTGGAAAATTCAGGCCAAAATATTTTGACTCAAACAAGAGCAATCAACTATTTATTTAATATATAAGCTTTATTATTAAGCTTATTTATTAAGCTTTTCAAATATGTGATTATTGCGCGTTTCGTGACTTACGCACCACTAATGGTGTAGCTATAAGATACAAAATGCATTTGGACTGAAAAATACGGTACACAAAAAATGGTGAGCACTCACTGATAAACTTGTACATAATCTTTTGCTCCGTTTGAGATTTTCACTATTCTGATTTTATCAAGATCCATCGATATATCATGTCCTCATTTCTCAATATACTATTTGTAATGTTACAAAACTCACAAGAGACAAGTCATTTTCATCCCTAGCAGAGTTGTCATTTTCATTTTTCTTCACAGTAAACATTTTTTTACCTACATGATGTCGAACATATAAAGTAAAACAATATACCTTGAGATCAGTGAAGTAGGCCCACAATTGATCGGAGGTGAGCTGTCCTTTGTAGACTACAGTTTTCAAAGACAAAGAGCAAATGTAGAACCTGGAGTCAGGCCTTGGAATAGTATGCGTTGCACGTTTGCGGAGAGTGAATACCTGAGAGAGACAAGAACAATATTATTGAACAAGAGCAATCAACTATTTATTTACACAAAACAATCATCAGTTCTCATAAACATCAAGCAGGAATTCAAATAAGTGAAAATGATTTTAATTCTTGGTGACACTAAAATACCAGTTAGCCAATTTCAGTTTAACAAATTTCAATGAATTTTTTATCGACATGGGACGGAAGGCCGATTATAATTAAACATGCGAGTTTTCGATTGAGTGCCAAAAAATCCACATTTTTCGCCAAGATTGGCCTTCAGATGAATGTTTAGACCAGTGTTAAACCCAAAAAGAGACCAAAAATGACCAAATCAGAACGCATTCCGTAAAGTATAGACCTTCAATGAGCGCAAGAAATGGTAGAGTTTAGGAAATTCACGGTGGGCCAAAAAATAGCCCTTATTGATACCCCTCCTTTGGCCTATGTTGATTATGATTTTTTTGCAACCTGAAAGTTTTAATTTACTGTTTATTATTTAACTTTTAAACGGTTATCTCTCACTTACCGGTTAATTTTGGAACTTTCCCGTACATTCAGCTTGATCTACGCGGAATTTTGATGAGGAAACAAAAGCTGTGGTGCTTCATTTCTTACACTGTCTAGAAGTCCGGTCATTTTTTGGATTTCAATATTCTTGAAAGCCCTTCAGAGTACCCCCACAATGATTGGACATAGCCATTAATATGAGGACATTTTACATCCGAAGAGGAAAATGGCTGAAACGCAGGATCTATGTTTGTTTGAATCTCATTCTCTTCCTTTACGGCCGTATCTACAATTACGTAGAGAAGTGAAAAGTTACCTTCTTCTTCAGGACATCTTCCTCGAACTTCCCTGTAACGAAGACTTGTCTCATGAACGGTTCACTGCTTCTGGCTACCTCACCAATGCTCCCACTATGAACAGGGACAGTGCGCCAACAAAGAACCTGATCAACAATAAAATAAATTTCATTTTAAAAATTAAACTCTCAGAATAATAACAAATCATATCAATATTTCAGAAAAATATCTCAGAAATTGTAGAAAGATGAAAAAAAAAGAGAGAAAAACCCAATTTAAAGATAAAAGAGAGTTAATTTTTATTTAAAAAATAAAATAAAAAGCAGAGAGTGTACGATAAAAGAAATATAAAGGAACTAAAGTATCAAAATATAAGAAATGACCCTCAGTACTGCTAAGCTGGGGCAAAACGCTGTGTGAACTTTCGAATACTGTCAAATTTCTTTCTATTAAATGTTTATTTTTGAGCACATCTAGCAATTGTTTTCATTGAAATTTTCAGACTTTTTAGATTAAACTGAGAACAAAATCCTCGAAGAAATATATTCAAGAGTTTTCTGGGAAATTTGTGTTTCATTAACGGAACTTGACTAGGTTCAAAGACTCAGATAGCGTTCTTCTTTAGCATGGCAGAGCGGGTGTATAAGACTGATAAACAATGCCTACGGATGAATTAAGCTGCTTGTTAAATCATGGATAGAAACAACGGATGCATACAAGGATATTTTCAAAGAATAAAAATAAAATCAGTAAAAAAAGAAAGAAAATAAAAATACTAAGTAAGGTTAACTCAATTGATTGACTAAATCCCATTAGGAAAATCTAGAGAGGAAAAGTGGATACATAGCTAGTTCCAGTTTGAGAAGATAAAGTTTTAAGATATATTCTGTAAGAAGTCTAATTTTCACACTTTAATACGAAATCACTACTGAAAAATAAAAGAAACTGAAAAACAGAGTCGATGAAACCACTAGAAGACATTTCCTGTTGTTTGCAAAAAATAGGAATACAAATTTTATATTTTTATCATATGTCTTGTATTCTTCCAATATAGTAAAAAAAAATAAGCAATCAAAATTGAAGTATAATGTGAGAAACCTCTGAGAGATTAATGAATCTTTGAAAAGAATAATCATTGGGAAAGTAAATTAAACACTTAGAATCGTTCAAAGTAGTAACTATTGCTTCCTGAAAGCATATCAGACCTGCCAGAATTCACTTATCCTTAGCATGTATGATCTAAAAGAATAATATGAGAAAACAGCCGAATTCAATCAGCCTTAAATCAGTATCAAATCGACCTACAAGATGGCATTTTGATCAAAAGTGACTGAATGGACGGCAACTTCATTTCAAAGTTTTATTTCCCTTCCTCTTTTCCGTTAATGTTCAACACAGATCATGAATAGAGGTGGCGATAGCAAAGAGTGGGTGAATTAGGCGATTTGTCATGTAGTAGGGTAAAATAATTCTATAAAGTTATATTCTTTGTCAGTGGGACCGACAATTTTATAATCAGCATTTGGTTTTAGTGGATAGTCAATTAAATCAAACTTTACCTTTTACTTTAAAAAAAAAAAAAAAAAAAAAAAAAAAAAAAAACTTTTTTGACTCTAATTATAATTTTTGAAACTTTTTGGCTTTGATTCCCCCGCGAAATGGTGTGGACCCAGCACCATTTCTCCACCTTGTTACATACAGTGTTCGGGCTACTTCTTAGTGTTTTTTTTTTCTCTCTCTCAAACTTTACCTTGAGCAACAAATTCTGCATCAAGACATAAAGATATGGTCATGAGGGTCAAAGGAGAAGAGGTTGGATTTTGAAAATCTAAAACATAAATCTCGATAAAATAAAGTACCTACCAAAATGGAAATTGCCGATAGAAAGTCATATTTTGGCAGCTAGCAAAAGCATTTTTGAAAAAGCTACTGTCAAAATTACTTTAGAGGACATCAAGAGCATGAAAAAACCAAATAAATGGAAAATTGGTGAAAGAGAATACTTCCACAGAAAAGTGAAGGTGGTAAAACCAGGAGTACGCTCCGTAAGTTAGCAAGGATAAATAGAACATAGTTTTGAGCTCTTAATCCAGGTATTTATCTTAATGGTAACTTTTAGAAACTAAAAAATCTTGAAATTTATAATTTCTTTTCGACAACAAATTAGAGATTAAGAAGCATGACGTTCAGTTCAATTTTAAACATCATTTGCTCATTAAATATTTCTCTGATCAAACTTTGGATCCCAATTTATAGATGTCCACATCTTGTTCGGGGATTGAGAACGTTTTCTTACTTAATACGATTGTGCACGAAAAATTACTTTCAGCCAGCATGAAACCTGAACAGGCTCCTGTTTTGAGGCAATAGAGTCCTCCCACTCATTTTGATTATTCTTTTTGATCTTAACATACGGAAATATGTAACTGACCTTAATGAATAAATCAAGGAGGGATTTAGTTGTAGATTTGCGTAGGGAATAAAGAAAGATTTGTCTGAAGAAAAGCTATTCCGACATACTATATGGAATAGGATAACGAAAACACCTTTTTAAGAAGCTTTACAAGTCAGGGTACCCACTTAAAAAAGCATAATATCTTAAAACATTCACACTCCAAAAGTATGAAGAGATATTGCTCTTTCTAATATGAGATTCGTTGTTGGTTTCTCTGACACGAAGAAAAAATAAACATTTTCAAAGAGGCTTGAAAAGTGAAGCTGTAGAATAGGAACAGTTCCCATAGTTTATGTTGGTGACGAAAATGGGCGCAAGAGTTTTCCGACCGTGAAACCAGCAGTTGCTTGAAATGGGGAAAGTTCCGGTGAGAACGGGAAGAAATGGAGGAATTTTGAAATTTTCGTTTCCGCACCATTTTACTAGTTATTTGATTTTATTTTCTTGGGGGTCTAAAATTTTGAGAAAGCCCATTGAATCTGGGAGATGGGTTGGAACTTTCTGCACCCCTGGTAAACCGTAAATGACTTCAAAGACGTATTCATCACAGGGTTGCCAGCCAAGTTAATTTTTTCCATTCCCTGACTTTTCCCTGACTTTCCAATATTTTTCCCTGACTTTTAAGTATGGATCTGACGCAGTCTGTTAAAGTGAAAAGTAGTCAGTTGATCCCGCAACGCGAGCCCGAGACCGCCCGCGCCCAATTCCACGAAAAATCAGAAAAATCTCTGACCAACACCGAAATTCCCTGACTTTCCCTGACTTTTCCCGGTTGATTTTTTTCCCCTGACTTTTCCCGGTTTTCCCGGTCGCTGGCAACCGTGTCATCATATTCAGTTAAAATAATTGTAATTTTCTGAAAACTCGGATTGGATGGTCTTGTGAGATACAGGAAAATCATNGGGGGGGGGGGGGGGGGGGGTTTACTGTTTTTTCATGAAATCGTTGGACAATTATGTATTCTTCCTCGCACTAATAGGTAAAATTTCCTTAATTTTCTAACCTTGGAGATACCTGTATAAGAAGTTAGGGATATAAATCGATGGGAGAAAACTGCCGACAATAAAAATTGATGGACAGGACTCATCGTATTTAAATCTCACCGTTTCAAAGGAAAAAGGTATATGAACTGAATACATACGCGTAAAAATTTCATCAGCCCAATTATACGTAAGAGAAATAAAGCACTAAAAAAAGAGGCCAAGCCAAGGTTAGCCACAGCCTGTACCCTGTTTTGAACTGAATATATATATATTCACTTCAAAATGCTCCACTGCGCATTGCAAACGCTTTTCCAATGGCTGATAATGAAACTTGTATGGACTTACTTCATTTTTACCTTAATTAACTTCCAGAATCATTTAGAGGGAATTATTTAATGATTTTTAACTTACAATAGTCTCTCATTTATTGAAGCTGGTCCAAATTTTAAAAATGACACACACAGGTATCAGATATTTTGACGACAAAAACTGATAGTTGGAGTAAAGATGTGATGTAAAAATCTATTGCCTACTTGGATAGAGAAAAGGATTGAAAAACTCTGCAAAAGTGTTTTAAGGGTGAAAATGAGAGGAAAGTAGATTGAAACTGAATATTATGTAAGATAAAAAGACAAGTTAGGTTTTAATGAATTTACCGAAAAATGATGAATAATGAGCTCATGATGTTCTCATCGGCTGGCAACGACATCGACAAAGCAGAGCAGGAGGTCTGTAATAACAACATCTTACCTAGCGGTGTGAAAACAACACACAGGCTATAATATTACTGGGCCAGCTGGACATCATTTCAAAATCAATTAATATCTATTGATGAAACTCGGATTTTCAAAACATTTTTAGCTCAAGATTCTCAAAAAGTTTAGCAATGAATGAGTTCCCTACTGCCGTGCTGAGGAAAAACGCTGTATAATCATTCGAATGTTGCCAAATTTCCCATGTTGAAAAATGCATTTTGGAGGAAAGTTAGATATATTTTGCCTTGAAATTTTCAGATATTTTAGATTAAATTACGAACAAAATCGTCTGAAAATTGGAAGAAAAATACATACAACTTTCCAAATAAATTTGTATTTCATAAACAAAAAAAAATTGGCAACGCCTGAAGGTTCATATGGTGTTTTTCCTTAATAGGGCAGTATATTAGAGGTAAACGCAAAAATCATTAACAGACAACATGTAACAAATTCAGAGAGAGAAATTTTTTCATGAATACCCTGAAGTTATTCTTAATAAAACGATCTTTTGAAAATAAAGTTTAATTGACATATATCAGGCATTAGTTAAACGCTACATTTCTGACGATAAATTTCATAATCCAGCCTGGAACCCAAGATCTAAGCATTGAGATAGACACTAGTTGAATCAAATGAGCGAGCAAATTAGAAAAATATTAAGACTGTTCCACAAATATTTATATTAATAATTTTCAAAAATTATCGTCAGAAGATGCTCTAATGAAATAATTTTTAACAAAATCCTCAAATTATCTCCACACAAATGAGAACATATGTGGAGGCTTGGTAAGAAAGAAATATAAGATTTCAAAAAATTAAGTAGCTCACATTAAATTTAAAAAAATTTTCAGCCAGGTCAATCTATGATTTAGGCTATTCATATGATTAAAGTTGGCTCTGGGTTACTAATAGTGATAAACCTCTGAAAAATATTGGATTTGCATCAATGTTGTCCATCAAGATAAAATATCGTATACTCTCGAAAGGTATTTAGAAAGATTGCAATATTTTTCAACAGAATTAACTGCTATTTTGAAATGATTTCTGGCCCAAAATTAAGAAATGCATTTGCATATCTTCATAGAAAAACGATCGATTGAGAAATAACGAATATCTGACACGAGAAGTTGGAAAGAGAAAATGACTGAAAAAAAGTATTATTTGTGATGGCGTTATCTTTGAAAATAAAATTAAAATTGCTATTTGAGATTATTACTAATCAACATCGATTCACAATTTTGTTGTGCGGTGTGACACTAGTTTTACTCGTCACATTTTCCACAACATTGAAAGTTTTTACAAATTCATAGTTTTTCAAGAAATCAAAACTCTGAATTCTCCCAGTCTCAGGCTCTTAAGTTATGAAATCATTCCTTTCAGCAGTTTGAAATTCTATCGTTAGAAAGATAGACTGAGAAAAGACATCAGTGTAAAAATAAAATCTTACATGGGATCGATGGAAGCAATAGCAAGTTAGTCCAGAGAAACACTAAAAATGCAGCTGGGAAAACTCTGAATTGCATTACTTATGGTTGTGCAGAATTTTCTGATTCATGTATTCTTTTACATACAAGTCTATGTAATGTACCAACTCTTTACTCAGGACCAACATTATTCTTTTCTTTATTTTCCAAAAACAGCAATAGCTATAATGTACATCGATAGCGAATTTGCAGCATGCGTAACGTGTTTGCGTCATTGCAATCTTCCGGTCATACTTTACATTTAAACTTTCACTGTCTCTACATTGGAAACTACTCAACGTCATTTCTTGACAACTTTGGTGATTTTAAGCAAAAATATTGGTTTTGTCTCCTTTCACAAAATGAGATAGAGGCAGTGATTTTGAAACAACCAAACCGAGCTGCGCATTTTTACACTATCAATGTAAATCTAGTCAAATTTTCTCTCTGATGACTTTGAAAAAGGTCTCAGTGATGTTCTGACATGTTCATTGCACTAGTTTTTCTCTTTGCATATTACTTGCTCTACACATTTTCATCGGCTTATGCTTCCATCAAACTTTGAAAAGTCATTTCCTCTTTCCGACCACTGTTGCGTACGGGGAAAAAGAGAGGAACAAACTAGGAAGTTTTCGAGAATGTTTGAAAAATAAAAAATAAGAAATAAAAAAACTAAATCTGCTTTGAGGAAGCTTGCTAGCCTTTAGAAGTAAAAATTTCTATTGTTTATATTCAAATTAAAGATAATATCTTGCATTCAATTTACTAGTCTTTCATGAAACAACAATTTTTTTTTTTCCAACATTTCAGAGCCTAAGCTATCTTCTTTCCATAAAGTACATAATCAGTAAGTGACAAAATTTTTTTGACGATTCTATGCATTTAAAAAAAAGGGAGGGGTGAAGAAGCTGACATTTTAATCTTAAAACATTCGAAGCTAAGTTTTGGATTATGAAGACACTTTCATAAAGACGATCTTTTTATTTAAGTTACTTAAATAAAAATGTGGCGTGACGCCAGAGTGTAAATAGTAGGGACATTCCAAACTTTTATTTCACTGTTAAAACAGAATTTTCTAGAAGAAAGAAAAAAAAATCACATGAAGTGATTTGGGGAAATGTTTTATTTAAGAGGGGAAATCATTACTTGGTTTAAAATATTAGAATTTGACAAAATCAAACCTTTAACTTACAAGAAATTTCTCTCATGAACAAAAAAACAATGGCTAATGCATGATACATAGTTTGGGTCCTGCTAGATGCTAAAACATAGTAAGAATAAAAATTGGGGAGGGGGGTGGGGGAAAGAGAGTATTTTTTGACAAATCTGCTTTTGAAGTGATTAATTGTGAGTAAAGGCAACTATCTATGTTACAATGTAAAATATTCGAAACAAAAGAAAACAGAGTTTCCACCAGCTCGACTTTTATTTTTCTATCCAATGCATAGAATCTTAGAGAAATTTTTTTCACTTAAAAAAAAGGTACCCTTCATCAATTGAGCATTCAGGAAAAGAAAAAAAAAGTGATTAAAAACCATGATAACTGGTGAAGAAAAGGAGTCAATTCTTTTTCATTTTCGGAAAAGCTCAATTAGAGACTTCAGAGAAATAATGAGAGAATACAAACACAGTCAAGAGAAAAAACACGGTTAAAGAAACTCAGAAACATAACAACGGAAAAGAATAATCAAATAGTGGCTAATTTAAAGTAACAGGCACTAGAGTATGTATGTTGGAAGGAGAATACAAGAAGAAATGTTTGAATACTTTTACCTCATGAATCCTGAAATTGTAAATGTCATTAGTGATCATGAAGAGGGAGGAAAATCAGAGAATAAGAAAACCAAGCATTGTTGAAAGTTGTGGAGGATCTTTCCATTACAACTGACTAAGGCTCATTTAAGCACACTCCTTCCAGTTTTTCTAGCCCTTCGTTTTCTTTGCTTAAAAATACTTCTTTGACAAGTCACATTGCTTGCGTTCTTTAGCGATGTACAAACTGTTATGATTGATTACGAAGACCTGCACTGGAAAAAGCTTTAGACATTTGATAACGGAATCCTGAATCCCCGAGGTCTAATTATAAGACTGATTTGAACTTTGTTCCTGCACCCATCAATTTTCCAAAAAATCGAGATTCTGACTGAATGGTATACGGGTATGTCATCAACTGCAAAATATGGAAAATTTTGCTATTGGAAGAATATCGACGCAATTTAACTGGGAAAATATGGGTGTTAAAAGTATACCTTTTTTTCAGCTACCTCAGAATATTTTGAAGGGAAATAAAAAAAAAAGAAGGATCCTCCACATGTTTTGCTGTTAAACTAGGTTTTGATGAAAACTTATATGTAAAAAAGGGCAAACTCAACATACCTGTAAGCCGAGCTCTTCGGCGATGTTTTTGAAGCCTTCTTCACTCTGCAGGTGGTGGGTTTTATCCATAAATATGATACCAGTTGCATACTCTCCAAAGGGCGGCAACACCACATTTTGTTTCTCTCTGAAAGAAAACCAGATTTTAAGTGAACTTAAAATTACAGAGTCAAGAACTTAAAGCATGTTCCAGGGGAGGCTTTACTATTTTACCATCTGGGCGAGTAAAAATTTGCCACCCCTTTTCGAGAGTGATAACTTTCTTTTTCGTTTTTCTTGTGTTTGGAATAATGTGAGACCTTGCGTTAAGGTATTAATAAATTAAAAAGCACAAGAAATAAAAAATGTCATTGATCTCGAAATCTCCTCTCACTACCGCAAGGCAGCAAAATTTCATGAAAAATAAAATCTTGAAATTTCAAGGGAAATACCTATTTCATGGAATTTCAGATATTTATAAAAGATTGAAAAATACCAGTTCCTTTCCATGTTTCGCAAGATGTAAAAATTGTGACTCTCTTCTGTTTTTGTGTATTTCAGTGCAGATTGCATACTCTAACTCCTGAAAAATATGAAATATTTTACAGCCTCGTGAGATTTCATGAAATATTTCAATGAAATCTCCAATCCTTCATTTCTTTTTTACGTTTCATGCCACCCTGCACTATTGTAATTTATTGCC